CTCGAAAACAAGAACAAGAAGAGGACTTGGGTGAAAAGCAAAGCTCTCCCACTCCAAGCAGTTGATCTCCTTCACCCAATTGTCTTCAACCTCGCCTTCCCAATCAATCTCAACCCCATTGTCGCCCACCACGTTTCGAATTGGGTGCTTCTCGAAGTACTCCGAAGCCCGAATCCCCCACCCCACATCGGCATCCAACGGCCAATCCCTGCTCTCTTCCTCAACCACCATGCTCTTCTGCCTTCCAAAACCCTCCTCCTCCTCCTCCTCCTCACCATCGTCCACTTTCCTCTTCATTACTTCATCTTTCTTCTCAACAATTTCTGGGTTCTGCTCTCTGATCGACGCAAACGTCCGATCAAGCGACTCCCGCACGTAATCTTCAACCGCCGCCGCTTCGCTCCTGCGCCCGCACCGCGGCTTTCTCGGAATCGTCGCTGGAAACGTCTCGCCTGGCTCTTCACTTCGTGTTCAGAAGTTTTCGTTTTACGGCTGCGATATTTCGGTTTCGGATTGGAGCGAGCTTTGAGGTCGGGCTCCGAATCGGATTTTCTCGAAGTAGCATAGCAAGGAAGAGAGTTCAGAGTGAGGGTGCGGTGCAAAGGGGAAATATGTAGCATCGGCGGGAGACAAGTTTGAAGGCGCAGCATTTTATTGGTGGTTTCCGCAGCCCAAGTGTTTGTGGAAATGCCTCACCGAGCTCAACCGCTTTTTTCCCTCTTCCCCTTTTTCCCTCCCTTTTATTACCCGCTTCCTGTTGGTTGTTATTTTATCAAAAGAACATCGCTTGCTTTTATTTTTTTAGTAACGACTTGATATCATTTTTTTAAGCCTGATCGGATAAACGGTTCTCGTGATGGTAAGAAATCAAAAAATAGTCTTCATGCTAAAGAAATTAGGATTTAAACCGTTGTGCTGTAATCCGTTTGCGGATTTAGTGTTCTAAATGTGGTAAAGTTTAAAAAAGTTGTGGTCTTTAAGTTGATTCCTGCTAGATTAGGGGGTTTAATTGGTGGGATATCTACTTGAATTGGTGGGATTTGGGATATAGCCGTAGGTTTGATTAATTAGATAGGGAAGGTACTGAGGCATGCTTTGTAAGTTTTAGTAGTGAGTTTGGTGAAATGGATTCTAATCACAATGCCGTCGGGGAATGTGCTTTTAACGGGCAAAATGCAGTTTCCTAGTAGTGGCGGCAGTGCGGCCTGATCCCTAGCTCTCTCCCATCAGTGGTTCCCAGATGAGCGCGATGGGTTCATCTGTAATATAAGAGAGCAGAGAGACAAGGAAGAAGAAGATGCAGACGTTAAAGTACATTTTTACCCTTACATTAACAGATATTTAACAAAAAAATCATTTTGGATTAAATTTGCTAACAGATTACACCACAAGGGTTTAAATCATAATTGTTTTACCACAAAGACTATCATCCAATTAGCTTATCACCACAAAAATTATTTATCCGATTAGGCCCTTTTTTTTTAATGTATTTAAAGTTATAATATTGTTTATGTGCAAAATTGATTCAGCCTTGGATCAACTTAGAAATGAAGTGGCCTCCGCAGAGATGTTCCGGTCACCTGATACTGGTGTTTTAGCTGGCTGGCTTTGGTAAGAGGCGTGGAGCTTAGTGCTGGGTGAGGGGGTGACTTGATTCGGCATGTGTGCTTCGTAGGGCACGCCTCCGGCAGGTGTGCTTTGGTAGACTAGCCTCAGCACGTAGCGAAGACTTATTAGTGCCAAGATTGATCACCTGTGGTGCTCCTTCAAGTTTTCCAAGGACTTCTTAGTTGACGTGAATTTTTCTCTTTCAATGATGACGTGAAAGAAAATTTAGAACAAGTGAGGGAGCTAGATTTTTAGAGAAAACATAGTTATTTTGAAGTATATCAGAATCCAGATGACGTAGTAAATTGATCTGATTGAAAGATGAAAATTTCGGTAGTGAAAGTCAAGCATTGCAGATTTGACCTCTATTATTCGATTTGTGCCCATGACTCATCACTTTTTTTTTTTTTTTTAGATCAAGGGTAACATTCATTATCAGCAACAACAAACTTTACAATGACCAAAATTTACAACAAAAGGCCCAAAAGCCAAAAACACAAACAAACAACAGTGGCCCAACCAGAAGTTGAGACCGAAACAAAAGAAAATTGAAAACAGCCAGTTCCGCTGCATCCTCCGCCATAACCACTGCTGAAACCACCAAAACAACGGTCATGCATGTCAATCCACACAAATTCTTGCCCCTAATTAAGCCTTGCCTCATCGGTACCAGCATCTAATCCCAAGCTTCACTCCTAGCACAACTACAGACAACAAAGAACCTGCAGCCAATTGAAAGAAGCTCATGGGAATCCACGAGCAACATTGCCAACAAAGGCAAACAGCAAAGAGAAGGTGGTGGTGCGAGGAACACCTGACCTAGTAGAAGCACCAGATCTATACTCACCAACTCGAAACACCGCAACAAATTATCAGTTTTTCAACGTTTATACGTTTACTAGGTTTTATCAATTTTCTAAGGTTTTAAGGATTTTCTTTTTTTTCTTCATATTTTGTTTCCTTAATTCTATTAGAATTCATGGCAAGCTAAGGGTTAAACACATTATAAAACATCTTTTAGTGGTGCTAAAAATATTATCTTTCTAAAACAGTCTTTTGTTGATGAGGGATCCATTGGCAAATTTGCGCCAAATCACATAGATGTTGGGAGGATTCCGCGTTTTAAGGGAAATCAATGCATGGAAGATGTTTTTTCAATTGGAAATGGGCCGCGGTTGTGAGCGAATCCTTGCGGCAATAAAAATCTCAAAAGAGAAGGTGATGGAGGATAGAAATTGACAAGATGAGAAAGTGTACGTTTCTCTCTTTTCTACAAGTCAATTTTGTTGGAGCAAAGATGTTCCCAAATTGATACAAAAGATAAGATTTTGTTCATATTTCATGTTTGCTTTTACATACGGAGAAGGAGACAGTTAGGAGAAATTTTTAGTTATGACGGGAATACAGATGGTACACTACATGTTTTTATGTAAGTGGTGGGAAATTTTGTTTTTTAAGTTATTAACTTTTTAACACAAATATCTCACCATTTATATAGCGACATGTGATGTACCATCTCGTGTGACGATCATACTAAAAATTTCTCGACAGTTAAGAAAGAGCATAAAAAAAAATAATAATAATAATAAAATCTTGTTGGCCTAAACAAAAAGAGGTTAAAATCTTGATATACCGACAAGCCAGCGCAAGTTTATTTCGTTGGATTTCTTTAGGGAGATCAACCGGTCGGCATGTAGGCACAACCAATTTTTTCTCCGCGTCCAACCACGTTATGCATTCTCCTTCCCAACGTCCAGAAGTATGAGGAACAAGGTAGCGGCGACGAATCCGACCGCCTTGCTGGCCGGTGCTCGCAATGAGCTTCCCGGTAACAAACGCCAAATACGTAACAACAACAGAAGCCTCAATACTACACATAGGATAATCACAACAATTACAGCATGTAGCAATCACAACCATACACTAATTATTTATGTTCGTTGGTTCTTCTCTGATTTATTCAATTCAAATTTTAAAAAATAAATAGAAGTACATGCAACTTTGGACGGCTAATATTGTTGGTGAACTAATGTTTGATGGATTAATGTACGGCGTCCGATTAATTTACTTCAACTGACTTTAAGTGATTGGATGTAGATGTTATTTTAGGTGTGGGATTTCTAATATTGGTTTTTGTTACTGTTTAAGGTAAATTTCTATATTTATAAATGTTGCAAAATAATGCTTGTATTTGAGGTGTCGTACAGACGTACTTCTAAACAAGAAGGTGCATTTTACACTAGAAAGAGGGGCAAGGAATTTGGAAGAGGAGACGCTGACCGGGACCGTGTTGATCCTTGGGTTGCTCCGCCCCTATGCAGAGAGAAAATTTTGACTAGGGAGGCCGAACCACGTGTCTTCGACGGAACACTCACACAAAACAGAAAACGGTTATCTCTGGATCCCTTCCATCAAATCTACCAAATTCATCAATTTGTGCCCTTGAAATTTGATTAAACGGTTAAAGTTATTATAACTTTTAAAATGAGCCCTATTTGGAACCGTTGAATCAAATTTCAAGGATCCGAATTGTGAATTTGATAAATTTTGTGGAAGGGCCGGAGAGGATCCCTTTCCTCACAAAACACACTCTCTACCCCATCTATCTGATTTGTCAAGTCCATCGATTTCCAAATTTTGGTCCCACCCCCTCTAATAAAGGCTTTGTCCGGGTTCCGGACAGAAGAAACTCTCCTATGCAGGACCAAACCTTGAGGCTTAAGTACTGTGACTGAAAATGGAACTTTGTTTCATAAGATATAAATGTAATTTACATACAAATTTGTGATACTAATCTAACTAAAACGAACTGTAGACAACAAATTATTTTCTAATAAGATTGTTAACAAATGGAAAGAAAGGGGTTAGATGTAGAAACACTTGTTCAAAGTTAAGATTAAATATTGACGCATCTCAGTGTGTTCTAAATTCTTACCCATCAATACTTAATGATTAGCGATCTTGATACTCACTACAAAATTATAGATCATTCATTTTGAAATGCAAGTAACCAAAAGATTGGAGTTAAGATTGTATGTTATTCAATTTGAAACTAGAGAGTATAGCGATAGGTAACAAAAATAGGTGTCTATTATTTAGATAATAATGTACGGAATATAATTTTCACTCTTGTTTTATGCACAACGCGCCTTTGGTTGTTTATGTCCCGTAATTCACCCTCGATTCATTCGATTTCGTGTGGTTAGAAATAGGAGAAGTGCAAGGGGATGGATAAATAATGAATGTGTAAACTGTTTTTCAGGTAGTGTTATTTATACACTTTTTTTTATCTCACACATCTCTTGTTAATTTTTATTTTTTAATTTTCTCTAATTTATTCAATCCAACGATTCAAAGTTGATAAGCGTAGTAGAAATTAAAAAAACGATGTGTTAAATCGAAATGACATTTTATCATACATTTGGATGACTAGAGGACATTTTATAATACATTTGGATGACAAGAGAGACACACATTCATAAAGCAATGCCTACCTAAAAGCCCCTGCAACTACTAAACATTTTTTCTTTTGCATTTTGCATTTTGCCCCCTACAAAAATCCTAATTTCCATATTTGGAGCCAAAAATGCCAGATGCATTTTTAATCCTTGCACTCCACGCGTCCCCCACAAAGCTCGCCTTTGCCTCACAACTGTAAAAACCCAGCGAGCTGAGTTGGATTCACAACGCCAGCCAAGTGGGCCCCCTCCGTTTTCAGCAAATCAGCGACTTCCACGTATCTCTCCAAGCTCTCGAACTTCGGCTCGGCTTCGATCTTGCTGCTGCTGACTCCCGATAGAGCCGGCTCGGCTCGGGAGGGGTCCCACGGCTGCCCGAGGAGGGTGCCCTTGGTGAGGAACTCGTGCGCCAGATAACCAGCCAGGAGCTGACCGGGCTGACCGGGAGGCGGGGCTGGCTCGGACGGCTTGGCTTGGGGCGGTGGGGCCAGCTTGAGCGTCTTGGTCTGCTGGAGCGCGTCGAAGTCACCCTCCTTCTCCTTGCGCTTGTTGTTGCTGTTGGCATTATTTGATGCATTGGTCGTCGAAATCCGACGAGGTGGCAAACGCATCGTTTTGGTATTCATATGATCGCTCTCTGTGTGCATGCCACGTGTGCAGCAGCAGTTAAAATGGACCACAAATCCAACCCAAGAAGGATAGCAAATCCGATTAAAAATAAAATTTTTGGGGAGTAAAAAGCAAAACGTCACCGATCGAGGGGTAAAACGGTGACTTCACAACAAAAAGGAAACTGACTCTGGGACAAAAGAGGGAATTTAAAAAAATTCAGGACCCACCAAATAAATAAACAAAAACTTTAAATTAAAAGAAAAAAAGAAGATAAGATTTGGGTGGGAGAGGAGAGGCCGTACGGGAAAGTGGCCGGAAGTACGGCAAAGTGGCCGGAATCTGGAGAAAGATAGTATCAAAGAGAGAAGCTAGAGAGAGAAAGATTAAGGAGAGAGAGAAAGATTGAGAGAGGGAAAAAATATGATTGAGGAATGGGAGAAGGAGTTGGGTTCTCTATATTTATAGATGTGGAGTTGAAGGATTGCCCATGATTATATAAGAAACTACGACAATGCCCGCATGTAGAGAAGGACGTAAATACCCCCATGTTTTCTATGGACGCTAGGAGTTGGCAGGTCAAAAAAAGTTTGGATTAGATTCTGTTTAAGGAAAGGGATCCTCCGGATCCATTTTATGGGGATCATGATCCCCACATCTTACCAGTTTATAGTATATTGTGAGATTAGTTTTTGTTAAATATTATTGTGTTTAATTTTAAATAAAATAATTCAAATGATTTCTAACAACACGATACATGACAAATGACTAAGATCTGAGAATGCCTAGAATCCCTACTAAGTGGATTCGGATGGCATCCAATTCCCCTGTTTAACCCCAATTTAATGTAAGTTTTTGTGCCACATGCCTCATATTGTCTAAAAATGTTTTCGCTCACACCATTCAATGTGGCAAAGGATTGTCTTCGATTCGTGATACTGCAATTGAATAAGATGAAAAGATAAAGATAGTTTGGTTAAGTTCGATCAAATTTGACTTTTACAAAGAATATTGAGCTGTAATAATTGGAAATATTTACCTGCTACACTTAAGATCAAAGTCCGAATCTCCTCTCCCCATTTGATCTCGCTTGTAACAAAATCTTAGGTGTAGGGTAGTTGTAGGCAAAAACATGAACTTTGTTATGACTTTTTCTAAGTGCAATGCACTCTTGAAAGTTTATACTTTGTGAAAGGGGTAGTCCAATTTGGAATATGATTAGTTGTCACATAAAAGTAATATTCCAAAAAGGATATGGAACTTGAGATATATTAACATAAATGAATTGAAATTAATAAAAATATAACATGCTAACATAAATAACGAATGGATTAGGTTACTCTCAAAGGAGAAATAACTTTGTTTTGATATGAGGAACATATATACTTAACTAGAATCGTAAGTACATTTTTATTTTAATTTCTCAATTCGAAATAAACAAAGTTGAGGGATTCAAACTTATAACCTCTTTTCAATATTTTCTATAAAATTTTATTTTATAAGTAGCAAATGAGCGAATTAAGTTTGGTTTGAAATGAAGAGAAAAAACCTATAGTCTTAACTTTATAGTGCTTGGAAGACAAAGTAGTGTTGCATGTAGCTAGGATGTTAATATACTGTAGTGTTGAAAATAAAAGGATTATTTTTGCACTTTTTTTTCTTTAATATTCGTTGCCCTACTCTTCTTGTTTGTAATTACAAGGATGAATAAATCAAAAGTGAATCAAATGACAAACAAAAGGAGGCATGCAAGACCGAAATGTTTAGCTCTAATGGTAGGTAATATTTGCCTCTATACTCAAGATCAGAGTTCGAATTCCCTCTCGCCCTTTGATCTCAGTTGTAACAAAGTCTTTGGTGTAGGTTGTTGTACAAAAAAAAAAATATAAGCATGTGATCCAATATCCTAGTGGATAGGATGTTGGATTTATATCCATGCGTCTCAAGTTCAAAACTCTTCATTCTTTAAATTATTGTAATAGTTTTGAGTCATCCCCTTTTCGTTAATAAAATAATAGTTTAAAAAAATAAAAAAATAAACAGATGCATGCAAGACGACAAATTCGGTATTGAAAATTCGAATTTGTGCTAATTAACTACTACTTATGTGTAACGAGTATATGTTGCATACAATAGCAAATCCGACCATAGTTAAATATATTGTTTACCTATTGATGAGATTCTTACTTTCAATATACTTCCTCACGTATCAAATTGTTTAAACATAACATGTTAAATACATATATTGAGTTTCGTAAAAGTACATAGATTGTAAACTCAACACATTAATTGTCTACCATAAAACGATATTAAAATGCGACATTCAACCTAAAATTAATATCAAATTGTTTAAACATAACATGTTGAATACATATATTGAGTTTCGTAAAAGTACATAGATTGTAAACTCAACACATTAATTGTCTACTATAAAACGATATTAAAATGCGACATTCAACCTAAAATTAATTTTATGTGTCTAAACAGTATATACATTTGATAATTTAAGTTAGGACAATGTGTCTAACCTTTCATCAACGTAATCTAAAAGATGTACGTAAACGTAAGAAAATAAGCAGGAAAGAATTTCAAGAACGAGAAACAACTACCGACTTGGAATAGTGTAGTTAATCCTGTTTAACGCCAACGACACGTCATAAAACGCCACCGTTTTTCCACATGGCGAACAACGAGCCTCAACCGCCGTGGTAAAAAGTAAATAGATTCTACACCGGGAGAAATTTTTCATTGTGACGGGAACATGGGTGATACAGCACGTGTTTTTATATAAGTGGTAGGAAATTTTATTTTGGGTAAATTACACTTTACCACCTTAGGTTTGAGGTCTATTACAATTTCATACAACATCTTCAAAACATTTCACTTTTATACCTGACGTACTATTTTATTTCAATATAATACATCCTTTACATTTTCCATCCACGCACCAGAAGCAACGGCAGCGGCAGTGGGTCCCTCTTCGCTCCCTCTCTGCCACGATCTCCTCTCTACAGATCCCTTCAGCTCCCACCTCCTCCTCCTCATCGGCGATTGCCAAGGCCGCATCGCCCTCCTTGACCTCCTCCTGAAATCACGGCCCTCTGGTTGCTGGATTTTAAAGCTTGAAGCTTGCGTGGGTTTTTTTTTATCTGATTTGTGCTCAAATTTTGGGGTTTTAGTTGTTAAATTTGTTCTTTTGAGGGTTCTGTTAACTGGGTAGAAGACATTGGATTTTGCCTGAAAATTTTGAATTAGGGTTTTCTGACATTTGATTTGGGATTGTATTTTTGTAATGTAATGGTAGCGGGGGGAGGTGGGGGTGGGGTGGGATAGGAGGGGAGGGGAGGTGAAGAGAGTGGAGGAGAGGGAGGTGGGTTGGGGGGGGGGGGTGGGGGGAGGTTTCTGGGTTTATGGATTTTAGATTCAGTTTGTGTTTGTGTTTTTTTATTATTTTTTATCTTTTTTCAGGGTAAATTATTATAATATTTTAAATGAATAAAAAATTATTTTTTGTCACATAGCACAAATGTGGTTGCCACGTCAGCTCTTCACGGATCAATTGATGGAAAATGTAAATAATGTATTATATTGAAATAAAATAATATGTAAAGTATGAAAATGAAATATTTTGAAGATATTGTATGAGATTATAATAGACCTCAAACTTGACATAGTAAAATATAATTCACTTTTCAACATGTATATTCCATCGCGTCTGCAGATGACACTGAAAAATTTCTCCTACACCAACGGTCCCAAAAGGACGAAGAATTTCCCAACTTCCAAAAACCCCCAACTTTTGTTTATTTCTTTAATTCTAAATCCCTCAATTGCTTAACCCCTCAGCAAAATCTTCAGCCTCACGCTTCCAATTCAAAAAATTTCAATGCCCTTGTCTTCCCCAAATCACACTCCGAAGCAAGCAATCAAAAGGGTAGAAAGGGAATTGGAATCAAACTGAAGTAGTATGAGTAATGCATTGGCCTCCTCTGCTTTTCTGCTTTGCAAAAACGAAAGGTGATTGGTGATTGATTGCTTTATTTTATTTTATTGGGGTTTTGTACAATTGAAGGTCGTTTTTATCAGTTTCTTGGGTTTGGGATTGTCGTTTTGGCTGTGGTGTTGGAAATTTAAGGTGAAGTTTCGACTTTTGGATGGTGCCAATTGAGGGTTTTTGTTGGGTGGGGGGCCGGAATTGGATGATGTTGTTGGAGTTTCTCAAGTGGGATAAATGGGGTTTTGTTTTCATTGGTGGTGTTATATGGTGATTGATAAAGTTAGGGTCTTGGTACCGAATCTTTTTTAAATTTACTTGTTTATTGTTGCTCTTGAATTTTGTGTATGTTAATTTTGATTTGTAAATATGTTATTTTTCCAGTGTTGGAAATGTGGTTATATGCAGGATTAGTTAGTTGTGATTATCGTAATTATGTGTAAAAGTTTGAGATTTAGTGTTTGATTGCGTGATTGATTATTTATCTTAATTTGATCATGGTCTAATAGTTATAAGTTAGCCGTTGTATTTCGATTTTACGTATAAAAGTTCCTGAGTTATTGTTGGTGGTGGTTGGTGGTTGAAGATTTCGGAGCATAGTGAAGCATTATGAAGAGGGAGTGACACCGGGAAGTAGTAAACCTTCTTCGAAAGTTGGAAAGGTACTGAAGTGTTTCCGTTCAGGAGAGCAATTAAGAACGGCAGATGAAATGGTTCCTCCAGAAAATGAATCCCTTGCAACCCAGGATCATAAATCAAGTGAATCTTCATCGCGAGCTGGGGAGGCTACAAAGAAACTGAACGCTGGCAATATAGAAGAAGCTGAATCATCTCTGCGTGAGAGTGGTTGTTTGAACTATGAGGTTTGTTTTCTAGAACCTATCTGTAGCTATGTAATCTTTTTAACGGTGACCTTGGAAGTTGTTTGTTTAGTTTAAGGTATAAAATTTGAATTTTCAGGAAGCAAGAGCGCTATTAGGAAGATACGAATATCAGAAAGGAAACATAGAAGCTGCTTTACATGTATTTGGAGGAATAGATATTGGTGCATTGACTCCGAAGATTAAAATCACCCTTGCCAGAGGAGGTGAGCGTCGTGAAAGGTGCTCTCAAAGTTTTTCTACTCCGCTGTTGTCTATGAATGCTGTCACTTTACTTCTTGAAGCGATATTTCTGAAGGCAAAATCATTGGAGGCTCGTGGGAGGTTTAAAGGTAATAAGTGGATTTACACATTTTCATTCTTGTTTGCATAATATAAATCTGTTTTTATGACATTTTGTAATGTTGTCACCGTCAAACCAATTCAGTTTAAAATAATGTTCTGTTATGCTTCACCATTATCTTGAGTGTTTTACCTAGGGGGGTAGGATGGGCAAAATGAACGAAGGAATCTGTGTACTTTGCTTGAAATCAGGCCATCACTGCATGGCTTATGTATATTTTTAATCATTCTTGCAGAAGCTGCTTAGTCTTGCAAAGTTGTTCTGGACATTGTTGAATCTTCATTTCCAGAAGGCTTGCCTCAAAACTTTGGCGCTGACTGTAAATTGCAGGAGATTATAAGCAAGAATGTTGAGTTGCTCCCAGAATTGTGGAAATTGTCTGATTGTCCGCATGAAACTATCTTGTCTTACCGACAGGCCTCTGCTCCAGCACTGGAACCTTGAGGTAGAAACTACTGCAAGGAGTCAGAAGGACTTTGCTGTTTTGCTTCTGTATAGTGGGTGTGAAGCAAGCCCCCCAAACCTACGCTTCCAAATGGACGGTTTATTCATACCCAGAAACAGTTTAGAAGAAGCTATTCTTCTGCTAATGATACTACTTAGAAAAGCTTCTCTTCAAAAAATTCAATGGGATCCATCAATCTTAGATCATCTTTTGTTTGCTCTGTCTGTATCAGGGGATACCATGGCTTTAGCTTATCAAGTTGAAGAACTACTACCTGGGTTTATGGATCGGAAAGAAAGGTTTTACAAGCTAGCTCTCTGCTACTATGGAGCAGGTGAGGATTCAGTTGCTTTAGATTTACTGAGGAAACTGTTAAGTAAGAGCGAGGATCCAATGTGTTTTCCACCTTTGTTATTGGCATCGAAGATATGTGGGGAAAATCCCAGTCCCAGTCATGCAGAAGAAGGGGTAGGATTTACCCGCAGAGCCCTTGAAAGTTTGGATGGTAAATGTGATCATTTGAAAAGTACCGCCACTTGTTTGTTGGGCATATCACTTTCTGTGCATTCTAAATCAGCGATTGCTGATTGTGAGAGAGTGACAAGACAGGATGAGGCATGTCAGGCCTTGGAAACTTCTGGGAGAATGACAACAATGAGTGACCCTGTTGTTCTTTACCATCTCAGCCTAGAATATGCTGAGCAGAGAGAGTTGGATGCTGCACATGTTGTGCAAAGAAAATGCTAAAGCTGGAAGGTGGTTGTAATGTTAGAGGTTGGTTATCATTGACCAGAATACTGTCAGCCAGAAACGGTTTGTGGATGCTGAAACGATCATAGAGGCTGCTTTGGATCAGACAGGGAAATGGAACAAGGAGAACTACTGGGAACCAAAGCCAAACTTCAAATTGCCCAGGGTCAGTTTAAAAATGCCATTGCAATCTATACTCACATTCTCGCTTTTGTTCAAGTTGACAATAAAAGCTTTGGTTATGGGAAGAAGCTTCCAAAGGTACATCATTTGATTAATTTCACAGTTATTTGAGTCAAAGTATTTGAAAGACAGGGTTTCCCTTCTTTTTATTTATTTTTTATCTGTACAGCAGTTTAGGGAGTAGATATTTTTTCATATACCTTAGATACTGAAATTATTCTTTGGAATGATCATCACTACTCATGAACCTCCGAGTCTCTGACCAAATGATAGTAATAAGGGTTTTAGAACCAGTTAGCATGCTGGAACCTTGATGTGATGAGAGAACGAAAGGGAATAACAACTAAGTTGAAATATCATATTCATATAAAATTTTATGAAGCTTTTGTTGTCATTGAAAGGAATAGGAGAAGTAGGCGTATAAATCATGTCCTCAGATTAGGATGTGAGTGTTTGGTCACGAAATTATCTTCTTTTGATACACTGACATTAATGACAGAGTACCAGAGATTTATCTGGAAGGTTGAACTTGGAAATATGGAATGACCTGGCATATTTCTATATAAATCTTTCACAATGGCGTGATGCTAAGGCTTGTCTGTCCAATTCTAAATGCAGAAGTGGTTACTCTGCTGACAGATGCCATGCCACGGGAATAATCAGACAATCACCGGGTTTGTGTTCTTTCGTAATCAATATCTTGATAAAGTGTTTTATTGTCCTTATCTAGGAAGGATTAGATCGCTCACTAATTAATTTGTTATCATGGTTTTAAAGCATTAACAATTGTGAAAGAAACATATGGATTTATGCATATTTGTGTTTGCGGAAACTTCTGCTGCTCTGCTGCTCTAATCATGTGGAACTTCGTGCATTTTGCAGGTTTACTTTATGAAAGGAAGGGCCTCTATAAAGAATCTCTAAGAGCATATTCAGAAGCTCTGGATGCCGACTCCTCCCATGTACCGTGCTTGATCTCTACGGCTGTTGTCCTCAGACATCTTGGTGGCAGCTCACACTACTCTCACATAGTTGTCCGAAGCCTTCTGCTGAATGCACTAAGCCTTGATGGAACGAACCATTCTGCATGGTATAACCTTGGTATACCGTACAAATCTCAGGGTACGCTATCTTCTTCATTAGAGGCTGCTGAATGTTTCAAGGCTGCACTCTCTCTCGAAGAGTCTGCTCCTGTTGAACCCTTCAGATAGCCACGCGTGCATTTGCGCAAACCTTTCATTTCTGTCAACTTCGAACTTCTTTCCCATCCACACCCGCCCTCTTAGACAACGAAAATGAAAATCCGATTTCAGACGAGGTTGAGTTAACCATTCTCAGGCTCTGTCATACAGCTGGGATACAAGTATAGATGTAAGGAATCCCGGCCACAGCCAAAATACAGTAACAATTTTATACATCGCACGCAAAAAATGTCTTTCCGAATGCTGTCTAAAAACTGACCAATTTTTCATGTTTTCTCTGATTCGAGCCTTATGGTGTCGGGTTAGGCTAGTCGGGCCAAGTTGACTCGAACTTTCGTTGTTTTCTATTTTTATCAACATTTGTTCACAATATTTGAACGCAGGACTTCTTCCAACAAAGCAGACACGGTTGTATCTTTTTCTTTATGAATATGTTTATTTATGTATAATGGCAAATTAAACGTAGAATTACAAACAAACAATTATTTATTTGCTATTTGGTAAAAGAATGCATAAACTATTTCACAATGCCCTTAATTATGAGCTCTAGTTTCTAACATCTTGGAGAGACAACTCCTTTGTAAGCAGGCTGAACATTGTTGCATTCAGCTCTTCCATTCTCCAGTTGAATATTTTGCAGCACAATCCCCTGACAAGGAACACTTTGGCTGCAGTTAACCGTTATCGCGTTGCCGGAAACACTTGTTCCTCTAATGTTTTGGTACAACACATTTTTCACTTGAACCGCCGATTTCTGCCGTAACAAAGTTGACAATCAAGAAAGTTATTAGGGTTTCGTCGCCGGATAAGTTAACGAATGATTAGAAACTAATTAGTTAATTAACCACCTGTTGATTGCAGTCTTTGGTTTTGTGGTCACAGTAGTTCTGGTCGATTATGATGGGGTTGGTGACATTATTCATTTGCACATTCTGGAAAACAATGTTGGTTGCACTGCCTAAGCCACCCTGCCATGTCTTGATCCTGAGTCCATTGGTGGTTCCTGAAAGCTTAGCTCCATTCACAAGTACTCCTGAAACATAGTCTTTTGTGCCATCTTTTCCCAAGCTACCAATACTGATCACAAAATTAAAACAACCATTAATATACACCGAAATATTTACTCGTTAGCTGTTATTGGCACTATAAGAAAGTCATCCCGCACTTCTCTCTATGAAAATAATCATTGATTATATGTTGATGAGAGAAATGCAGAATGACTTTTTGAAGAAGTTGGAGACTAGGGTTGTAAAATACCTGATTCCATGGCCTGGCCCACAAGTTATGTTTTCGGCTTGAACTCTTTGAGATCCACTCACAATAGAAATACAGTCATCACCTTCAAAACACAAATGAAGAAATTGTTGTTAAACTTATGTATAATATGGATTAATTTTTTTATCTTAATGTATTGATTGATCATATGTATTTTTCAAACGCGAAAGACCAAAATGATGACTTTGAAAGCGTCAACAAAATGATGACTTTGAAAGCGTCACGAGCTATTTGTCACACCTGTTCCTATAACCGAGCTCGAGATAGTGATGTTCTGGGTATTTGCAACATGAATTCCATCAGTATTGGGGCTATCCTCAGGTGCAGTTACTGTGAGAAGGGAAGCTTGAACATTAAAGCAGTTTTGGAACATAACATGCATTTGTTGAGCGTCTTGGATCTTCAGATTCTTCACCACCAAGTTATTGCACCCGTTGAAGGTCACAGCCTGCAGATTGCATGTACAACTTTAATTAGTTCCAATCTTAATCGTGCTTAATTAATCAAAATTCGCATAAAAATTTAGGTTAAAAGTACGTATATACACGTACCGTGGGGGCTTGTTTATCGCAAGGGGGCTGTAAATCAACGAAAGAGATTGTAATGAGTACATGAGTAGTATTAATTAAAGCTAATAATTTGATTAATTAGTACATACGTACCTGAGGCTTTCTTTTGCATGAGTTTTTCCACCATATGTTTCCATTGCCATTGATGGTTCCGGGACCGACAACTAGTAAGTTTTCGACGTTGTCAAACATGAGCCAGTGGTCTAGGTCTTTGTAGATTGATCGGTCTTCTGATGCTTCTATGGTTCCATAAATCTGAATTTTTATATTAATTCATTATTATAATCTTCAAAATTTATAGTTCAAATTCACGTTCACATATAAATAAACACAAATTATCTGAATTAATAATTACCTGCATTGTAAGTCGAGATTTGCAGGGGCCTGAGAATTCAATTGGCCTAACAAGATAGCTTTTCTGCGGCACCACAAGAACTATTGCTCCACTGGAAGAACAAGCTACCTTCCATGCCTTCAAAAATGCCTAAACCAGCACATGCATACAAAGAATCAAATTAAACAATATTATACTTTTTCAGTTCGACCAAATTAAACAGTTAATTACTGCTAGTTGCATCACATTTACTGATCGGTAAATCGTTAATGGGTTAGATCCAAATTACACCTACGAAACTATTAATTTGTACCAAAACAGAAATGTGACCAGACGGTTGTTACAGTTAGCATCACCATATGAATATACTGCTATTATTAAGCCTATGAGCCCATCGTGTATTATGTGTATACCTGTGTGTCATCAGCACCAGTTCCCTTTAGCTCCAAAATCGTCAACGCTAATCGTTTTGGCCGGAGCTGATGATGTCGCTATGCCACCGGCGATTTTGTTGATCTTCCTTGAACTGAAGAGCTGAGTTCTTGGTCTGATCAATTCCATGGACTTGAAACCTTCAGTGGTGTCCATGTAAGAATGATAAACCCTAGAATTGTAGCCAGACTCTTTATCAACATGGTCAATGTAACTATGAAGTGAGTTGACCTCCTGGAAACTACTACCGTAACATGAAGTAGTACTAAAGGAAACAACAAAAACAACAACAAATGACCATAACAAATGTGTTTGTAAAGCCATTGATGCCTTATTTTTTGGTGTAAAAGAGAGACAAAATGACTCAAAGGGCTGGTAATAATTTTTTGGTGAGATAAGGGACCACCAAAAGAAATTATAAGATGACACGAGGCTAAAAAACACCTAATATATCGTCTATCAAAGGGAACGGAATACAGACAAAAGGATCGTGAAAGACATTAAACTCCAACTGAGGGCTGATAATATTTTAAAGGAATGCAATATCATGGGATGTTGGAAACTTAATTAGGTTTGTAGCTAGAAATGTATGGATTTTGATGTGTTCAAGTGACGATGATTTGAATTTGATGAGAATGTCATGAGTTTTCCATTAGTATTTATAGCCAGTGAAAGAGAAGGGCATTGGCGGCGGTTGTTGTGTACTGTGTCGTCATGTATGAGGAAGGGCTCTTGAGGTATGGGTTCTTGGACATTGAGAGATTCAGACGAAATGATCTCTTGGCCGGACTGATTTTCTGCCGTGCATCCCTTATGCTACAACCCGAGTCGTTGCAAGCATTAATTAATATATGAAAAATATAGATTACTTCGGTTCAATTTTGTGGATTTAAAAAACTAGTTTAAATGCATGTACGAAGGTTTGATGGAGTTTGAATGGACTCTATAGAAGCATGATTTGCTAAGGATTAAAATAAAGAACTTTAATGAAAAACTTTCGGTACTGTTCATTTTAACAAAAAATCACATTTTTACACTAAAAAGTCAATCCTAATATTATTCATTTTACCCTTTATTTTGTCCTTATCGTTAAAACTCAAAGTTTTCAAGCCATTTTCATTAGTTTTCCTTTAAAATAAACTAAGAAATCCTTGGAAGATCGACCAAAATTTATTATTTTTTAAAAAATTTAGAATTAATTCATGATTGAATATACACCCAAACTTTCATACTCTTTTAAAATCCTCATTGAACACTAGTCAGATTTTTAAGAACTTTTCAAAATCTCTTAAAATTCTAATTGATTAATGCACTTTGATTTGTATAGAGTTCTATAAACTCGTTTAAAATTCCGACTGAATACTCATAAAATTTTAAACGCCTTCAAAATCTCAATTGAATCCTTTTAAACTTTGTATTTGGAAAATTTTTTTTGGGTACCAGATATAATAATCCAGAACACCTAATACATTGTCGATGCTTTTTTAAGGAAAATGCATTGTTGGTATTTGAGTGGTTGAAATATTGTCAATATAAAAGGTATTGTAAATTAATACTCGATCGGTATCAGTCAATCACTGATCACATTTGAACTTTATATTGGAGAGGTAAAAATAGCTAGGATTGTGGTTTTGAATCAAGTACAATAATACACATCTCTTAATAAGAACAATGCCCTATATACAGACCGGAACATGATTTTCCCAACTTTTACTCTCTAACTTACGGGGCATATGCTCGGATTGAGATATGCACACTTATTTTATCCTTGCAATAATATAGAATGGTGCTATTTAGATATACATGCTCTGATTGGTCAAAATAGTTTAACTTAATAAAATATATATTTATCGTATGTTTATGTGTTGATCATATATATATAATATATATATATATATATATATTTGCACGTCTCCCAATTAAAAGGGATGGTCCATGCATATCACCATGCAAACGTACGTTATCCACTTTTGACATATAATATATATACATGTATGTATGTATGTATGTATGTATGTATGCTTGCATCTTGCGTATTCATTTGAACACTCCACGATTTTTGAGAAAGAGTAATACTAGGAAAATTACGTTGTTAGACTATATTAGCCAAGGTTCTAAAAATCACTAGACGCTAGTTGGATTGTGGGTAGGGGCCTAGTGGCTAGGCAGAATTATGTAAATTTATTATATATCTTGTAAATAAGTGTCCATTTACACTTAAAAAAAATATACTTGTATGGATAATAAAAGAATGATAAAATGCAAAATTAGAAATAGAAGAATACACAAATTATATACATGCAAAAAGTTCAATATTTAAAAAACAGTAAGCATATAATCATAACGAGGAGGATTTGGATGATAGACTAAATTCTTCTTGTTCATGATTGTTGCATCCCACATCGCCCAGAGGAGTGGATACTGTAAGCCTTATATGTATATTCTCATCTGTACCTAGCACGAGGCCTTTTGGGAGCTCACTGGCTTCGAAGTTCATCGAAACTCCGAAGTTAAGCGAGTAGCACGCAAGAGCAATCCCATGATGGGTGACCCACTGGGAAGTTCTCGTGTGAGTTCCCAGAAACAAAACCATGAGGGCGTGGTCGGGGCCTAAAGCGGACAATATCGTGCTACGATGGTGGAGCGGGCCTGGGATGTGGTGGGGGCCCAGGCTGGGATGTGACAATGATCCTTGCATTGGATTGGACATAGACTAAATTATTTAACCTTATTGTATCTAGTTTATTTCTTTTCTTTGTATGTATCCCCTCAAAAGTGCTCCATTTCGTTTCACTATTGGATGAACCTGTAGTAAATCCATCATTTGCAAATTAGGTTCACCATTTCCATAAGTATACCACCATGAAACCAAAAAAGGAAAAAAACACACAATTAATAAAAAATAAAAATATATAAAAAAAACCACCAAGGACCACCTAGGGCCGCCTAGGACCGCCTAGCCCGCCTAGGCGCCGCTTAGGTGGCCGCCTAGCTCCAGACCGATTTTTAGAACCAATTTGCCCAAAATCGGGGCGGAACATCACCGCCTAGGCCAATTTTTAGAACACTGATATTAGCAAACAGTATGATGTAGCAAATGATTTACATAACTAACATACAATGAGATAAATTCATTAATTGACATGATACGTACACATTACTTGTCAGTCTAAACTATATCTAATTAACGTTGTTCTTTGAGACAGTTTCGATCATTGTAATGTATATCTTGTCCTTCATTTCTAAAGTTTTGATTGGCCTAACGGTCACGTAAAGGATTTGATTGGCTTAAGGGTCACGTAAAGGATAAGATAATAGCCAAATTAATGTCATGCACAGGACCAGTGGGATTAGATTACCAGTATGTTTGTTTGTCAATGACATCGAAGAAAATTTGTTTCACTGTATTTGTTAGGGTTTTGCCCTGTGTTAGGTTTTGATCCAAAAGTTTTACGGGTTTCAGAACCATAACCCTAGAAGGGAGAGAAGCACTTTTGTTCATGGTGTCTACGTGTCCGTCTCTCATTGAACATGTAGAAGCGTGCGGCTTAAGTAATGATAGCCCCAATAAAATCCTTGAGTTGTCGTCAGATGTATACTAACTTGTTGGATTGTTGAGGGATGGGTTTTGATTAATTTGGAATAGAAAACACACCTGCCACATAATTTTGGCACTTTATTTTACTTTGAGCCTCAAAGTTTGTTCTTTTCTAGCGGCCAAGAAAACCTTAAGCAATTTTTTTTTGACTTTTTCTCTTATTCGGAGAGCAATTTTTCGGTTTATTTAGAATACTAGTATTTGATGTTATTATTCGACTCAAATTATAATAAATACATTTAATTTTTTTCGTTATTAAAATAAGACATATCAACTATATCTTTTATTCTGATTAGAACACGTAAATTAATATACTACATCACTTGTATTGCTCATAACCTCAATACTTTATTCCGACGTTAAATGGTTTTAACCTTAATTATTGGGAAGGCATGCAAAATTACTAATATAATGTCATAAATTAGTTCAAAAGGTTTTTCAACTCAGGGTGGCTTGTACATTTTGTCATCCATCCCACATACGGCTGCCAAGTGTATTGTGTATTTGGCTACAAATCATCAGTAAATAGTCTTAGAAAACGTATTAAAATTGTTATCTTTGAGTTTAATCTTCTTGACCACACATCATGGTATGTAGCTAAAGATATTAAATTAGGTATTTAACTACTGCCTTATCGATATATATCATGTATTTATTTGGCAACTTAAGTAGGATGGTTGACAATTGTGGTTTAGGAATGGTTTAACTTAATCCATACATTCATTGCGAATCATTTCTGAGCATAAAATCTTTCAAAATAGTTAGGCCAACAAATGTTTGCTTATTGTTAACGGACACTCCAACTGCTATGTTCTATAATTTGTAACCCAAAAGGTCAAATATATATGCTTGTTCATTAATTATTTTGTGGTTCAAAACTTGATTCATCACTCAAAATTTGTGAGCATTAAAGAATTAGGTCGTCTTTAAATTTTTATGGTAATTAAAAATACGAAAATATATTACTTGTTGTAGTATTTTTCTCTACTTGTAACTGGTAGGTCTTAAGCTTAATTCTCATACATAGTCATAATGAGTTCACTAAAATGACTTTGTACATTGTATGCTTAGCCCAAACTCCCTACACCTTAGTTTTTTATTTTATTTTGTTTTAAGAGGAGGGGAGGGTTCAAAACCATTACAATAATTCAGGAAAGGAAGAGTTTCAAATCCATGACGTATGAGTAGAAGCCCAATACCTTATCTACTAAGATATTGGACTACAAGCAAAATCCCTACACCTTAGTATAAATATTGTATAAGAAAAATACACCATGCAATATATTATGCGTGTATTGACAACACACAATCAATTTATTGATAAATATCATTGCATATTGACAAATATCGTTGCATAAACATTACTGTATAAGAAAAACACACATGACACACAAATACTATCGACAACACAGAATCATATTGATCTGTATCAACAAATAAACAATTCACTTCCAAATAAAATCTCGATACTAATATTACAATTAAGATCAATATATAAATTTTAATTAATTTTTTTGGTATTAGTTTTCCATCCTCTTTCACTTATATAAGTTTATCTTATTTGATTTTATTTTGTAACCGTGATATGCATATGTAAATACAAAAGGAGAACGAACAACACAAAGTAAAAAACTAATTCATGTATACTTTTTTCTCGCATTACACAACTTTGTTTATCTTTGACATTTAAATGAAATTAAATATAAAAAAACGGAAGCCGATGATAAACAATAGTGTACTGTGTACAAAAGAAGTGTGAAAACCATTTTCCAAAGCAAACAAGGTTAGAAGTCGGGTTGGTAGCTAAATCCTTCTAAAAAGATATCAAAGCCCCAATTGCCTGATCCTGTTCGGTATTGCAACCCATCTCAGATCCCTCCTCATTTGTTTTTGGGTATAGTATTGGAGTGATTCTCGGTACATCAAATTTTGTCTTTAATTAGACAACCTTTTTTCTTCTTCGGAAACTCAATTTACTTTCACACATTTCTTTAGACACTCAAAAAAATTTACTAAACTTCTAAGAAGACTCGATTTGAAATTTGTTTCTTTATTTGATTCCTTTAAAAAAATGTCAATTTGATTGCAGAGCATACCATCTGGATTTGATGTATTAATCCAACAAGGTTATCCAACATCATCACAAAGAATATGAACTTAAGAATCGAATAAGTAAATGTGAAAAACTTTACTTTGTTGTTTTCAGGATTGTCGCTATGTTTTTCATTGTGCTATTTGAGTACACTTTCAAAGAAGCATGACAAAGTGAATTAGATAAGCACGATAAAGTAAAATTCAACAGTCGTGAAATTCGTCAGTTGTTTGGTGATCACGTTGTCTAAAGAAAATAATTGTTTCCTTTAAGAAATCATTAAGCTCATTTTGGCAGTTTTATACACGAGTATAAGAGTCCGTTTACTTTAAAATAAAATTAATGGGTGTCTAGTCTAGGGACGAAACTTGAGTACCACTCATAGTAATGCCAAGTCATTTATTTCTTTGAAGCCCATTAAACCCAAATATATATATTTTTTATTTTTGGTATATGCCTAATCATTTTTCTTTTAAACTCGGTTTTGTAGCATTTTTACTTATTTAAACTTAGATGAGTTATAAATAGATATAACGGACTCGTTTGATATTGTTTCTTTAAAAAACATGTTTAGAAGCAGTTTTAGTAAAAACTCTTTTATTAACATCCTTTGTAGCAATATAATACATTGTTGTTTTAGTATAAAATAACCGATTTTAATGTGAAGCTTATTAGTTTTTTTAAGTATAAAATAATTGATCTTAATCTACACTACCTATTGATAAAATATTGTTTGTCAACCAAAACTCTAAGAAATTATCATTTTAATGCCCTCACCAAATTGAACTCAAGTAAAAAGTATGGGCAATTTAGTAATTATATGAACATAAATTTTGCTATTTTTTACAGCAAACTTACTGTGAGGTAAGTATAACATGTCGTGTTTAAAAACTAAAAATAAAATAAAATAAAAGCTATTCCCATGTTAGACGAAACCACTCATCCTTATTCCAATTTTCATAACTGATTTTTTTTTTTTTTATAATTTTATAAACTATTCCCACTTCATACTAAAAAACAAAATGAAATGAAATTGTTAACACACAAGGTGTGTGGGCATCTGCTAGTTTAAATTTATCAAAACACAACATAAATTATTGTGAAATAGAGTTATTGAAAGCACAAATCCTAACTAATGGAAAAAAGACATTTTAGCCGAACTGGTCTCTGAGATTGTTATAATTCCTCACTTTAATCTCAAAGATTTGAAATCGATAGAAGTGGTCCTGAGTTTGTCTGCTGTCAATCATTTTGGTTATTGCTTGAAAATTTATATTAAATAAAGACTAAAATGATAAAAATACCCTTAATTTAATAAACAATTGACCAAAATGATTTGACAATAATTGAGGGTGTTTTTATCATTTTCTCTTTATTACATAGATGATTGACAGCGGACAAACTTAAGGACCACTTTTATCTATCTTAACTTTCAGAGATCAAAATGAATAGTTATGTTGCTCTCAAAGATCAATTTAGCTAAAAAAGTAAAAAAAAAGGGGTAAATAGCGAATAGTGCCCTCACTCAGGTGGGTAAAATGGACTTTACGTGTTTAGGTTCATTACCGCATTGACGCCAAGGTTGTTTGTCCTATCCGAATTTATTGGGCAAATTAGTAATTAGACCTTGCAGTTAAGGACAATATTTACTACAGTATATCCGACATTATGCGTAATTATTGTCACCGTTTCAATCATAATCCCCTTCTTTTTTTTTTTTTTTTTTTTTTTTCTGTCACTGTTTATCATTTGACTATCTTTCCCTGTGTCTCAGTCTGGTTAGAGAGAGAGAGAGAGAGAGAGAGAGAGAGAAGAGAGAGGGAGAGAGAGAGAGAGAGAGAGATGGAGGGAGGGAAGAGGGGAGTTGAAGCAGGAGCATCATCGTCTGGTGGGTTTTCATCAGCTGGCGCTGTAAGTGATCAGGGAAGAGGAAGACAAGAAAAGCAGAAGGAAATGGCTGAAAAGCTGAGTGCTTTTTATGATGTTGGAGAAGAAGACGAGGAAGAAGATGATAAGAGTAATGGGGTTGTTGCTGATGGTTTTATTCCTGGACCTTTGGTTTCTCTCAAGGAACAGATTGAGAAGGACAAGGTACTCTCTTGATTTTTCTCTCTTTTGATTTTTTTTTTTTTTTACTTATATTTGGAATTTGAGTTTGTTTTAATCTTGCTTAATTAATGGGATTTTGATTTGATTGAATATGTGCAATGGGTTGTTTGGATTTATCTTGGAACCCAAAAGATGTGTGTTTGGTTTCTCAGAAAATGCAGGAAAAGAAAAGAAAAGGGTTCTTTTCTGGTCCCATTTTCTGATCCTTCTGAATGTGTGACACTGCCACTGCCCAAGCATTTGAATTTTTAATCTCAATTGTGTTCAGTTGCTTGATGCTAATGTGTCTTGCAACTGAAAAGTTACTTCTAGTTTTGTAATCCAATTAGATCAATTAGGTAGTTTGTGTGAAATGGAAAATCAAAGTGTTTGGAGTTTACCAATTCAATTTTGAAGCTACTTGTGCTTGACAGCATGATGAAAGCTTGAGGAGGTGGAAAGAGAAGCTGCTTGGTAGCTTGGAAGGCGATTTGAATGGTTTGTTTTCCGTGTTTTTTTTTTTTTTTTTTGTATTCGGTTCTTTATTCCTCCTCTACTTTGTTGTGGTTTTTGAATCTGTTGTCTTATTTTGCTAAGAGTTTTCCATTTCATTAGGCCAAATGGAACCTGAAGTCAAATTCCACTCCATCGGAATCATCTCTGAGGACTTTGGGGAAATCACTACTGCCTTGCCTGTCGTTGAAAATCAGATCGATCGTGTCCTGTTTACACTGCAAGAGGGATCTCAATATCGGCTTAAGATAACATTTAGTGTTCTGCACAACATTGTTTCTGGCCTTACTTACTCCAACACAGTGTGGAAAGGAGGACTCCAAGGTAGTTAATAGTGTTTTATCATCCTGTCTAGATGTTTTAAGCGCAATAGAGACGGTTGAAGGCTTATGAAAACTTTTGGCTAAACCTTAAAGGCAGTATTATAATTATACTACTGAAATATGTTAACATGTTAATGTAGAAGGAGGTAAGACTAGTAAAGTATAGAATGCTCTCATTTTAACCACCCGGGATTAGGTTTATGTTCTGTATGCTAACCGTTATACCAATTTTCTTTTTCGTTCTCTTATGCATCAGTCGATCAGAGCCAAGGAATGTTGGGTACGTTTGCTCCTAACAAAGAACTATATGTGCACACTTTGGAAGAGGAGACCACTCCATCTGGGTTGCTTGCAAGGGGCATTTATTCAGCAAAGCTTAAGGTGCGTGGCACTTAGTACAGATGTTTATTCTGCAAAGCGTATTTTCATGCAGCGAGCTTAATTTGAGATTGAAGTGTATACATAATAGGGTACCCCGTTCCTTCTTTTATATCTTGATTAACAATCAACAGCTTATTCATTCACATTTCGATCAGAAGGGGAAGATGCCTCTATTTCGAGATCTCCTAAGTTTGCAGTGGTGACATCCGTCGTAATATTGCTAGGGTTCTAGGAGTATATCCATGGCAACTTCCAAATTTACTTTTTGTGTGTACGCAAAATATGAATTGATGTTTCTTCTCGGTTTCAATTTTATGCAGTTCGAAGACGATGACAGGAGATGCCATATGGAACTTCAGTACACCTTCGAGATCAAGAAGGGCAGATAGCTGATTTTTTTTCGGAAGATCCAAGATCCTTAGATTTATTTCTTCCTCCATGAACCACACATCTTTGTTGTATAAGCTTTTCCTTGTAGGGCTGATTGATACAAATGTAAAATTGAATTCACATTCTGTTTCCGTTGGCTTTCCATTGCTGTTTGAACCCATCTTTGTTCTTCCCCGGATATCATGAAAGTGTCGTCGGAAATAGTGTCGAAGTTAAACGAAAAACGGCATTTGAGAATCTGTTTTCTTCACTTGAGTTGTTCTCAACTCAGCAGATGTTCAACAAGGATTTCTCACTTATATGGATTCAAAGATACATAAGATGATTTATTCGTAACAAGTTCGTTAATCTACAATCAATCGTCACTCCTCAAGAACATTTTCGACTCGTACATACAAAATCTACAAGAAAAACATCGTATTCTGTAAATGTGACAGTTTAATGCCTATTTCAGTTGGATCTCGAATATCAACAGACTCTAGTTCGATACATCTTTATCTTTGCGTCGTTCAGTAGTTCCTTTAAGAGCTATACTAATCAAGTAAACAAGGTACACTACAGTGCGACACTGTTTGGGAGGGCTGAGCGGCAAGCAAATCAGATACAGCAGTGCTGTCCTCCAGCTGCAAAAATCGACTGCAGACAAAGCTGAGGCGTCGAGTAAGGTTTCTACCAACAAAATCATCAAGCATTTTGAAGATCTGGGATGCAGTCTCGACTTTTTGCTTGATACAAAAGGGAATTGCTCAACCGTTAATGGTATGTGCCTCCAGTTCTCAAAAATATCTGCAAGGGACCTGAATGGTTCCGTGCTAGTACCTGAAGAGACAAACCCGAAATATCACCAGAACAGCATGGATCATAGTAGACAATTCATTCTAACAGTAGGATAACGATGATATTGTTGTATATTCCGATTTATGCAGAACTGGTGGAACTAAAATTTTAGTAAGAAGATAATGAAGAAAGAGAGACCGTCTAATCTACAAATAATGCAAAAGAAGATCCGCTGAAGAATTCTTCAACCTACAGCTCTGTCCTAAATGAACATCTCCGAATAGGTATCTGCATCATCAAGCTTGAAAATTAAGGGGTGAAAAGGAAAACTTAAAACTTTTGGGAAAGACATTATTTTTAGAACAACAAACCTATATTCGCAGTGTTCTGCCCATGCACATCGAGCTTTTCCATAATCCCAATAACAGTCCTCATCCCTCAGAGGTCCACGCTTGGCTGTTTGCAGAATTTATATGTCATGTCGGCCAAAAGGAGGAGGAGATAGAAGACGAAGAAGAGAAGAAAAATTCACCTTTAGTAACAAATTTTGATTTCGCATCGGGATGGATATCGTGCCACATTTCAAGCCACAACTCTCTCATTACAACTGGGGATCTAACAATGTTCCTATGATTCGCTACATTAAGATGGTGTTACCAAAGATGGTAAATTAAACAAGATCTCTTATTTATGTGCAACAAATAATTATAGGATAACTACAAGAGAGTGGAAAATGGAAACCTTTGTCTATCTCCCAGACTGCCGTCCTTTTTCCTGGTATACTTTCAGAATCTTCATAGAAAGTTATGTACTTGACCCTTGGCAACCTTGTCATGTTGGGCAGTATATCTTCTTCATGATGATGTTCCATGTTCAACTCCACTTGCACATCAGAACCATCATGCTCCGACTACAACATTGAGAACACGAATAATCAAAACTCACATCAAGGGCACTTTTGCCGGTGAAGAAGCACATCAAACATACTGATGAAGATTCTCATTTTCGTTTATTAAACAAATGAAATGAGTCACTTCAGACAAACTCATACACTATGTACTCAAAGGAGACACAAATACCTGAGGCGCCCTAGTTATGTTGACTTTTGGTCCAAGCCAATTCTTGCAATAAGAAAGAGAATGGTATGGGACCTGTTAAATAATGTGTTAATGAAGCAGGAGAATCGAACTTGAACCATGCTTGCATGAAATAATTTTTAACTCACAGTCTCATCCCCGCTTGAAGCTCCTGCATTTCCATCAACAAGATTTCCTGACCTACAAGAATATAATGGAATTATCAACTGTAGAGTTTCCAAAATGGACTGTAACACTCTGAACATATGCCAATTTTCAAAACGTCATTTGTACAACAATTAGGTAATTGATATATACAGAAATGATAATATGTTGATATCTATCTGCTTTGCTTACACGATAAAGTCAACACCTAGCGATGTTTTACCCCATAGACCCATACAGAAGGAGAAAGAGACCTACCAGTTAAGTACATATCACATTTGATAATGCATTTGCAGTAAATGTATTCAAGTGACATACATGCACCAGGTATACTTGTGTAGTACGGAAAGTAAGGAGGAAACTTACCTTGAGAACAAGGAACCTTCAAGCTCATAAATCACATCGGTAATGATCCAATTATCAGGGTAGGGCTTGCCACTTGGTGCAAAATAGTAACCAACCTGTTCCATGCCAAGACACCAAAACTATCATTCACCAGCACCAAAAAATCCCTAGTCATAAGAAAAACATATCTTAGGATGAATAGAATCTAGCAGCTTTTATTTGTTGCTAAAACTTATTGACAAGTGAATCTGAAGAATAGCAGCAAGTGCATCTTATAAGCAAATATGACTTGGTAATAATAAAATATAATTATTTCAAGCATGGAAAATACTATGAAAGAAAGCAGACAAAAATTATATTTCCAAATTCACTACTCTGGTAGAAAACCCGCAAAAAACAAACAAACAAGAACACCAATCATGTGAAGTTGCTTCAGTTATGATAAAAAGAAATATATCATTCGCTACCATGTACCTCAGTTTTCAAGTCTGTTCCGTAGATACAAAATATATTTTTTAGAGGTGGCCTGTCCCATGGTGAAAGCGGATTTAAAACTGGATCATCATGATATAACCTGAAATAAACAATCCAGTTGAAAAGCTGAGACAGACATCAACATCATATAGCTTGAAAAAGGTCAAAACATATTTATTTATTTAAAAAAAAAAAATTAGAAGCAGAATGTCAAGTGACCACATGCATAGCACAGAACCTTTCTGTTTAAGATCATTTATCCATATAAAACCTGGGAACAACAGTCAAGATAGCTTAATCTAATGTCCACCGGTAATAAATATACAATGAAAAAGAACGACACGTTGTATGGGAAAAAGGATCCTTTGCCACTGGCATTTAATGGTGTTGCTTACCCTAGGTAATGGAACACTAACCTAACTAATCGATGAAAGTATAACAACTATTGAAGAAAGCTTGAAGTTCATGCCACTACTAGAAGTTGTAAAGGACTAAGTTTCGGCCTAGCAGCATGGACAAGAAAAGTTGTCACATAAAGGCACCAATGCAGAAAAACAAGTGAGCGAAATGATACTTCATTATGATTCATATCAAAATACTCACTTTTTTAATTGATGCAAAACCCTCTTCATGTCCGGATCATAATCCTCTATTGCTTTGAAAAAGGTCCCATCCGATATTTCACAACCAGAGAAAGACAATTGGGTAGGAAGTCCACATTCTATGCTAGACAAGTTGCCCTCAGCTACTTCTGTAACTGATGGATACGCTCCAAATCCTGTCAATATAAGATGCAAAGAGAACCTATGAAAAACAACATCGCAACCAAAAAAGTGCATCATGATCGAAATTTTACCAGGAATTGAGGGAATTTCAATATTAATAATATTTGTTGGCCACCCAGAGAAGTTAAAGTGAAATTCCCTCTCATCACAGATGATAATTATGATGACTACTCTTGTCCTTGACATCCACAGAGAAATGTTTCCAGCATGTATTATCTGCCCTACAATACTTTGAAAATGGCAACATCCATAACGTGGAAGCAAAAGAATTGACCATCAACCGAGATGTCCCCTGATAATGGAAACACATATAATATGAACCATGTTACAACATGAATTTACATCTAAAAGATTATCATGAATATCCACTATTTCAAGACAAGATATTTAGGCATGAAAGTGATTTTAAGTTTTAACTGATTGTCGTATGCATTTATTTTCTTGAGTTTACAGAGCATGATCAAGACAATATAAATTTAGGAATTCTACCAGTATTTACGTATCTGAAGTGTAATGACTTAAAAGACAAAACGATTGGTTTGTTCTATTTTTTCATAAGCCATTAACAAATACTTAAACAAAACGTAAAACAAAAGCTACAATTGCATCTTGGAGGAGTACGGAAAAGAACAATAAACAAACTATCACCTCAGAAATTGGAAGGCCAAATGTTAATCCAGAAAGTGTTCCTTTGACTGCCTCGACTGTACCAAGAAGTGGAGCTCCTTGAACCAAGTCAACAAAACAAACTAGATAAATACCACACACGATTCTAAGCAACAAAACTTTCAAGGTAAACAGATTTTGATGTAATCCAACTGTACCAACGGCAAAATAGGCATGAATGTGCTGATCCAGCCATTGGATATAATGTTTTGGTGCAATTTCCAGCTTCAACCACTCCAAAAAGTAGCGAAAGACATGATTCCCTAGTGAATGGGCAAACACTAACGAGGGCCCTCCTCGAAGTTTCAGCGCCGTTTCAAATGTTAATCTGCATTTTTTTTTCACATGATGGAAAGTCCAAGCATAATTAACATGTTAGCATATGAACATCATTTGACACTAACACTTCTAGTTATTGTATCAACATGGTAGTAACGAAACAATGAATTCGTGAATAACAGAAAATAATTAGCAACAACAGCATGAAAAGCAGATAAAAATACAAACTTTAGCTTGTGAAAGTAAAGGTCTCGTTCCTCGAGTTTAGATGGTGACAGCCTCCAGTCATACGGCACAGCAATAATTGCATTCGCCTCGATTCCGAATTCAACACACCATTTCAGCCATTCTTTCCACACCGAAGAAAGAGGACCTGTTTCAATTACGAAAAGAAAGGCAAAAACTTGAAAATATGATTCAGAAACACATGAAGTTCAGAGAAATGCAAATGTTACCCGTTATGTAGCCAGGATCGAGCTCCGTGATCGCCGAAAGGCCACTATCGGGCCGGGACTTGCATTCCGGGTGATCCGTTTGGTTGTAAGGGTCAAGAAGCATGCATTTCAGCCAGCAGTTCACGGCGGAGAGCATCTGCAACGCACAAAATCATCAGAAATTTGAAAAATCGGAGCTTTTCGGATAATTGAAAGCAGAGAGAGAGAGAGAGAGAGAGAGACGGACTCTGGTGCTGTCGAGCCAGACCAAATCGAGAGGGTTGAAATCGAGAGGAGAGTAAGGGCAGTCGAGGATCGACCACGCGCGGAGCTGCGTGGAGGCCAAGCCAGGGATTATGATGCCGGAGAGTTTGGAGTAGTCGCCGGTCCAGTCCCCTCCGACGCCATTGAAGAGATGAGGAAGAAGGAGGAGGAGAAACGCCGTGACGTGGTGGTTGTACGACGGTGATCGCATTGCTGCTTGACCCGTTTGGAAAGAGGGAATTGCAACTCCCTGTAGTCTTATGGCCCCGTTGGATTTGGGTAGTTGGGAGTTGGAAAGACTCTTTATTTTTTTTTTGGAAAAAGTTGGAAAGACTCTTTGGCTATTGGCCCCAAGTCCCTTTCTATTTGACTTCCCAAACGACGTCGGCCTTTGCGAACAACTTGTATGGCTACGGATTCATTGTCACATACTCTCAGTGATGTCTCGCACCAGTCTGAAAAGAATTACAGCAAGTGATTCAGTGGTAAGAACACAGATTGCGGTTTTCCAACCAACAAAAAAATGTGTAAGGTTCTGAGTTCGATGTTTCAAGCTATTGAGATTGTTTGACCTTAGCCACGAGCAAGATGAAATTCTCTATACTCTTTCCAGACCAAAAAAGATAGATAATTATAATTTACCATAATTTGTCATTCTTTTAGAAAAAGAAAAAAAAAACCTAACATGTTTGTACATAATTAGTAAAGAACGTCATGTGACAGTATGTAAATCGTCACCTAAACATTCCCATAAACAAAATGCTTGCTACACAAGCAGAAGGCTGGCAATGGAACTGAAAAGTACGAAACGAAGTCGTTTCAGCATATGAACGAAGAAACCAAAGCGCGCGCGCCAACAGAAGTAGGAAACGACAAGAGAGAGTCCAAGGGCAAAGGCTGGATTTTTGAGCAGCTTCCAATGGCTGCTGCTTCCTTTATATCCTCCATTGGAGAATACGGGGCCGTTTGGGTGATGGGAAGCCAGTTTCAATGGAATCTTCTTCCACTTCTTCCAGATTCCGATTCCGGGACCTGTCGGAGATGGAGAACTCCACGCAGTCCGACACCGCCTCTGACTTGTCCTCCGTGTCCAGCGACGGAGACGACGACGAGTCCGACCTTCAATCCATGACTGGAAAGGTCAGTTCTTTCTGTTCGTTTAATTGATTTAGTTGATTACTTTCTGTTTGGTTTCCGAGAAAATGTGAGGAAAAAGGTTCATTTAATATAATATGCTGTTGATTATAGGGAATTAAGCATCTGTGTTCAGAACTCCTGGAGCTAAAGGCTGCATCCGGCGAAGAATTTCACAAACACATCTTTTCGAATTATTCGGCCTTCGTTAGGTATAAACTTTTGTGGAGAAATTTTTGAGTTTGGCAGTCACGTGTTACCAATTCATGTGTTATAAGTTAATGAATTGGAAATAGTACGTGACAGTACGACAGTCACTCTTAAAAAAGTCTAGGTATACATGTTTTCTAATTATTCAGCAGAGTATAAATTATGTATTTTAGAGAAAGTTTTGAGTATAAAGGTTACATCGTCACACAATGTTATCAATCTATGTGATATAAATTTATAAGACCATCTCCAACCTTTGGGCTAAAAGCCAAATTTTTTAGCCCGGAAAATTTAGCTTTTAGCCCAGAAATAGCTTTTCTGCTTTAACCCTTTTGGTCTAAAATTTTAGTCCGGGATTATTAAAGAATGAACTTAAGCTAATTTTTTTTCTTAAATTAACTTTAAAAAAAAATTATGTAGACTATCGTAAATTAATTTTCTGAACATTTTAATCTAAAAATATTTAAATTCCGATAAATATTGAAAAATCACTAAATCGATACATGAAACACTATGGAAGAATATGAAAATCATGATAGAGATGTACAAACACAAAATACATAAAACACAAAAGACACACATAACACATGTGAACCACATACAAAACACATGCAAAGCACGTACACATGTGAAGGACATACAAAACACATGATAGAGATGAAGCACACACAGAACACAAGTGAAACACGACACACACGCGAAACACATATAAAATACATACAAAACAAGCCTTCAACTTTCACCAAACTTTCAACTTTCACTAATCGTTCAACTTTCACCAAACTTACAACTTTCACCAATCGTTCAACTTTCATCAATTGACGGCAATGTACTCATATCATAACCTGTGGATTGGTAGCACTAGGTGGCGGTGTGACAATTCTATTGAAAATTCTCCTTTTTATTGTTACTTATATGCAGTTTTTCTTAAGTTTGAAGTCAATTCCAATAGTGAATTGAGGTGAATATTTGTCAGCAAAAATAAGTGGGAATGTGTTTTATTTTTCATTTTTGTAGAATATTTGAAGAAGTAGGGCTTGTGGAAAATGAGTTGAAGCAACTGAAGAACCATGTAGTGACCCAAAAGAGGCTTGTAAGTGAACTTGCAGATGGCATATATTTGAAGCTTTTATCAAAGGAGACTATAGACTTGGTAATTGAAGAACCCGAATATTCGGAATTTTCAGAACCAGTTACCATCACCAACTTGGGGGATCATGCAAATGATGTTTTAGCAACCTTGGACACTCTCTTGTCTGAAAACAGAATCGATGAAGCATTGACCATCCTCGAATTGGAGGACGAGAATTTCCAGAGGTTGCAGTTTGAGGAAGGTCGCCCGGTGGATGAGCTGAGGTTGTTTAGTACTGAAATTTCCGAGAGGAAGGCTTTGGTTACAATGCAGTTGACAGTGGTGGCTGAAAATCCAAGAACAGCTGCGCCGGAACTTCAGAAAGCGCTGGTGGGGCTCTGCAGACTGGGTGACAGCCATCTCGCAACACAATTGTTGATCAAGTATTACCGTTCGCGCATTGCGTCTGGGACACTCAATTTGCAGGCTTCGAAATCGTTTTTGAATAGGGTTTATATCAGGGAGCTTTCAAAGTTTGTGTTCTCTATGATTTCTCAAGCAGCAAGAAGTTTTGTGATGTTATATGGGGAGACGTCTTCTTATGCATCAGAACTTATCCAGTGGGCTCGTAGAGAAACAAAATTGTTTGGTGCTTGTTTCGACAAGTATGTGAAATCCATATCAGAAATAAGTGGTGGATTGTCCACAGCAGTAGAAGCTGTGCAGTTTGCAATGTCTTTTTGCTCTTTGTTGGAAAATCAGAGATTAGTGTTGCGGCCGTACTTGATCAAGTACATTCGCCCTTGTATCGAAGAGGTTCTGCGTAAACACCTAGACCATTTTAAGAAAGTCGTCGATATCTTTACAGCAACTGATGCTTGGGTTTTGGGAAGATATCTTGTATCTGGAATCATGAATGAAGGGTGCTCTTCCATGGTTGTTGGCCAACAACCAGAATATTGCTTGCTCACAAACAGCGGCAGGAAGTTTGTAACGCTGCTGCAGGTATCATTTTTTCTTTGAATTGATTTTCGACAAAATCCCAGCAAAGTTTAGCTTTCTTGTATGATGTTTTTCTCACTCAACTTTTTCTTTCCCTTCCAGTCTATCACTTTAGATGTCGCCCCATTAGTTTCCCTTCAAATTGAAGGATCAATCGTTAGCGGACTTATGAATCTCTTCAAAAAGTATGTAGACATCCTTGAGATAGCCATCAACTGCAAGGTGACCGTTACAGAAAAAAGTAATCCAAGAATATTCTTGGCCGAGTCAGTGCAGCAACAGGTTTCAGTACTAGCCAATCTGTCATCGCTCGAGCAACTCTTCACCAACATGGTTAGAAGTATCTTCAAGGGTGTCAGTGACATCAACTCTGAGTTAATGAAAACCCTTCCAAATGGTTATCCAGCGAAGGAACTTGACAGTTGTATCTCATTGATTCAGGAGGCTTCTGGTCGTCTCAGAGATCTTTATTGTGAGCAATTTATATGTAAAATTATGTCCCTAAGAAAGAGTGACAACCTTACTCCCGAAAATTGCATTGACGACCAGGGTGAGTCTTGTGTGTTCCAGGGAGTGATGCCCTCTCTTGCCTTTCAGGTGACTTTGCGAATCAGATAATTGTGCTGATTTTGTTTTCATTTAAATAACTTGAAGAGTGGTGTCACTATTCATTCACTGTTTCAGCAATTTTCTTTTGATTTCCCCCAGAGTTACTAACTCCTATTGGTACAAAACTTCTTGTTTGTGAACTAGATTATACGATGCTTATACGCCTTCGATTCTGATGTCTCATTATCAGGTACTGTTTTTAGAACTTCGGAAACTGGAAAAGCTGTCCGAAGACAATGTCTTTGAAATTGATTGGTTAATGGAGCTACTAAGGGAGCTCATAGAGGACCGCATTTGCTTGGATTCCAGACAACAAAGAGATCTGGGATACCGATAGCGAGAATATGATGGAAGAGCATCCTTTCAACTCAAAGCAGGTCTCTTGTTCCATTTTGCTTTGCTTTCCCTTATGCTTCGAGAAGTGCTATCAACCACGTGTACTAGTCCATTTTATCATCATCCTTGTTCATTCAATTTATTTCCCTTTGTTTATATTTCATGGAGCAGTTTGTTTTGGACGTGCAATTTCTGGTGGAAATCTCAGCGTATGGAGGATACTTCTCCAACAACCCTTTGTTTCTCATAAATCTCATGAAATCAGCCTTGCTTTCAGCTGGACTAGATCCAAAAAGGTATTGCTTGTGGTCATCTTTTTCACATGTGCTAACTGCAAAAATCATCATTTAGTGTGCAGTCTGCAGCCATTCTAGAAAAGAATGCATTTTGGTTGATTTCTTAAAACAGTTTCATGACTCCTTTCGCGTAGAGATGTCAGCGAGGATGTATGGGCTATAGAGTCTGCTGCCGAAGCAATCCAAAAGCTACTGGAGATTGAGAATTCAGAGTCACGTATGGACCAAGAGCCTCTTTCTGAACTAGAATCAGGGGAGGAGGAACCATGCAAGTTCGCCGCTGAATCTTTCCAGGATGATCGTAGTTCTTCAGAGAAGGATGCAGTAGTCACAGATGATTCAGAAGGCGTCTCCAATGCAGAATCGGAACCATTGAATGCAGAAGAACCATGCATGGAGAAGTTCAAGATTTCTACCGACTCTGTTCAGGATGATGCTTGTTCTTCAAATGAGAATGTAGTAGCCACATATGGTTCGGAAGGTGCCCTTAACGCTGAATCAGAACCATTGGATACAGAACCATCTGCGGACCAATCCAAGAATCCGGCTGAGTCTTTTGCGGAAAATGTTATAAGCTCTTTAGAAGATTATGCAGAGCCGGAGGAGGACAAGGTAGCCACATATGATCCTGGATGTATGGAGAAGTCCGAAAATGCATCTGAATCTTTTCGGGAAGATGTTACAAGTTCTTTGGATGCTTCTGTGCAACCGGAAGTTGCCATTAATTCTGAAACACAATCGTTTGCTGAACCATGCACTGTTGAATCACAGCGCGTAACTGAGTCTTTCGAGGATGATGCTTTAATTCCTTCAGAGGATTGTGTGGTAGCCATGGACAAAGCTGAAGCTGCCTCTAGTGCAGAAACAACACCATTGATTAAAGAACCATGTCCTCAAACTACGGTCTTCGAAAAAGCGTCTGACAATGTAGTTGATACATTACAGATCATTGAAGAAACTAATGAACCATCTGCACAGTTGGCTGCGACGGACATCTATGAGGCCGTGGAGAAAGAACGTTCCGGCGGAGGAAGGGAATGACAGTCAATGTGATGAACAGGCTATAAGAAAATAAAACAAATGACAGAAGCTTTTTTATTTATTTATGTATTGCATCAACAAATTGTGACAATGTTCAACCTAATTTGCTTTAGGATCAGATGAAATTTGTGTGTTTATATTCAAGGAATTAACAATAAATATTAATCACAATCTTTACATTTTAAAGACACAAATTTCATAGAATAAAATAGCTTGTAAGTAAAAAGTTTTATGTTCAAATATCGTAGATGATAAAATTGGATACTATTTTATTCTTCCACCTCTAGTGTAAATATTAATGTATTAAGAAAAAGCGTTTTGAAAAATAAATTTCTAATAGAATAATACTTTACTCTTTACATGTAAGAAGTCATTTTCTTTTTAATGATGTCGTGACAATGATTCTACTGTACAAATGTTATAATCATAAGAGTTTATTGTCCTTATTAGTATTAGGGTAATGTCTGTTTTACTACTATCAAGTATCTCGAAAAGCACACTTTACTACATTTTTTTTCTTATGTATCACCTTTATATCTAAAGTTTGAATTTTTTGTTAATTAACAGAATTGTAAATGGTTGGATGCATTAAATTGGTAGAAAATTCAAATTTTAGGAATCCATATGTATCAAATAAACTGACAATTATCATTGCGATGAACTGTCTATTGATTGAATTCATATAAATGACTATGGCAACCTTTAAATTAAATAAATATTTATATAAACAAATAATTATTTTTAACTATGACGTTTTATTAAATATATTTTTTTTCGATATTTTTAACTAAAGGGGAGAGTTCGGCTAAGCCACACAATAAGCAACCTAATTTGATGTCGAATTTATCATTTACAAAATTCAAATCTAAGACTACTGAAGTTTCAAATGAAAAGAAATAAGTCATGACCATTACATGTCAGCGAAGCGTCCCACCGCATGCAATAAAAGCCAAGCTGAGAAATGAAATTACTCGCGAGATGTAGACATATCGGCGATATCTGACCAAAAATAGGAAAAGTCAAAATATCGGCAAGCTCCAACCGCTTAGGCGGGAGTCTCTAAAAACCAAATCCGGAAAAGCGCGCGAGTTTGAAACGTTACCGTTCGACTCAAATCCATCACCCCGCCCATTTCCTCTTCCGCAGACAAATCACCACTATACACGTGTCCTCCGCGGCTCCAACACACCATCTGCAAAGACATCTAAATACTCCAAGCTCCTCCCGAAGAACTCACTTTTTAGTTCTCCCTGCAACTCTCTCAGAGTTTCCGAAGCTCCGTTTCAATGGTGGATGCAATCCCTAACCGAAAATGCAGCGACAGTAGCAGTACCAGGTCGATGATGAACCCGTGGGTTCTCCATTTCCAGAAACTGGGTCTCGAGCTCAAGTGCCCCCTCTGGTTCGATTCGCTCCCCTAAATTCCATTTCTTTTTTCAAGATTTCAAGTTTTCGAATTCGAATTTTATTTTGATTTATTTGAAGCAAACAGGCTTTGCCTGAAATGGGTTTTGCATTTTTTGTGTTTTTATTGGTGGGTTCAGCTTGAATTTGCTTAATCGACCGACGTTGCTTCCATGCGATCACATTTTCTGCAAGTGCGTCTTCTCTCTCTCTCTCTCTCTTATTTTTTCTCCTAATAATTGATCAATTTCTGTCTCAAGATTCTTACTTTAGGGTTTTTTCTGTACTGGGTTTTTGAATTGCTTGCAGTTGCTGCATACCCAGTTCGAGTTGCCCGGTTTGTAAAGCTCAGGTTGCGGACCGAGGTATTTCTTTTTTAGTTGAAGAAATTATATTATTTATGGCTGAAATAATTGTTTTTTATGGATGTTCTTGCTAGGACATTATTTGATGAATTCCCAAAACAGTTTATTGTGGAAACAAGTAATTAAAGCCAATTAATTTTATTTCTGATGCATTGGTTTTGTGGGCTGGTAGATCTCAGGCCTGTGCCATTCATGGAAAACATAGTAGCGATCTACAAAAGCTTGGATGCGTCTTTCTGTGCCAATTTGTTCCAGCCTGTTTCTTCCGGTACAAGCTTAATGTGTAAATACCCTTATTTGGAAGTTACTATGGTGTCTAAACTCTATGCAGACAATAATGTTTTAGCTTTGTGTGTTGGTTTTGATCAATGCAGATGTTAGAACCATTCTGGAGCAAAACCCTGTTTTGCCTAATATCAGTTTTGCTGGGAAAATGACTATAGAACCATTTGACAATGACCAAGGAGGTAATTCAAACAGTGGGCAATCCATCTATTCATCAAGTGCTCATGAACGAGTTTGCGCTGCTTGTAGTTTGAATCGTTCTGTAGCTGATGGAGTTGGCAACAATGACAAAGTAGATAAGTGTAGCATGCCAATAGATGCTAATGGCAAGGTATTAGATTTTGCTAGAAGCGGAGTGGGAAACCCCAATTCACAACTACCAAGTTCTCAAATAAGAGCTGGTGGACTTGACGAGTGCATGACTGTAGAAAGAGACATGAATCACGCAGCACAGTCATTGCCCAACAGTCCTCCTTCATTTGGTGATGCCAAATGTTCAGATAATGATAGCTGTGGTCGGCGCTGTGAGCAAGTAAGGATTTAATGGTTTCTTAATTTACTAATGCCATAAATTTTACTGTCTTATGATTAGATTAATTATATATATTTTTATGTAATGCTTTCTTCAGATTTCAGAAAATTCTTTGGTCAGGAGATCGATCAGCAAAATTGATGATGGTAGAGTAGGGCAGAAAAGACATGATAGTTGTGCAACTGAAATTGATGGTCATTTAAGAAAGAAAATAAAGTATGAGCCAGTTTTAGAGACTTATTCTGAGCTTGAACAAAAGTTCAGTACACCACCTAATGAATCATTCACAAAGAGAACAATTTGTGTATTTTGTCAGTCTTCTACGATCTCGGAGGTTAGTTATGTTAATCTTTGTGTCTTTTTGCAGTACATGGTAAGTTGGTAACATATAACTCAGTTGAATTGATGAAATATTTCAGGGTACAGGGCCAATGTTGCATTATTCTAAAGAGAGACTGGTAGAGGGAGATGAGGCAAATGCTTCAAATGTCATACATGTTCACAGAATATGCATTGATTGGTATGTTCAAGCAGTAATGATGATAATTTTGGTCTAGTGTAGTTAGCGTTGTCTAGTCCATATATGGATGTTTTCTCTTTCCGAAAGATACTCTTGATTTTCTGTGTACTTTTCAACTATACAGAAAATATTTTGTATTTTCAAAGACGGGCATATAATGTATGTTATGTTTCCTGTGCATATAAAATGAAACAAATTATATATAAAAAAAAAAAACACAAAATCCTCTCTACTGAGCCTTTTGACTTTAGTGTTTCTGCTCAATGGCATTAAGTTACTATGTTAGCAATAATAATTTTCTTAGTTACTTTCTGTTTTTGGAATCTTTGTCTGATTTCTATAACTGTAAGAACATTATTGTCAGTTCACTTTTACCTATTCAATAACATGATTGCTATTTTACTTTGATCTATTTGTTGTTAATTACCTTATGTGCTACTAGCCTACTAGATAAACATACTATGGATTTTGAAATTCAGGGCACCGCAAGTGTATTTCGAAGGTGAAAATGTTAAGGGATTGAAGGCAGAAGTCTCAAGGGGTGCAAAACTAAAATGCACCAAATGTGGGCTAAAGGGAGCAGCTTTGGGATGCTTTGTAAAGTCCTGCCGAAGAAGCTATCATGTTACCTGTGCAACTGAAATTTCTAAATGTCGTTGGGACAAGGTATTTATTATCTTCTTTTACATGTAGTAGCATATATTTGTAATCAACTTGTTTCTCGTGTCCTTTTATTGTTATAGCCTTTTAGATTATTTAATAGTAAGTTGTTTTGGTGGCCAATGTCTGTTAAGCCTTAAATAATGGTTAACTGTTGTCCTTTTGAACATTATATAGGAAAACTTTCTGCTGCTATGTCCAGCTCATCGTTCAACTAAATTTCCTGGTGAGAAGTCAAATTATGGGAAGCCCAAGTAAGACTTCATTCTCTTGTTGAAGCAAGTAGAATTCCTGTATTTTGGTCCCTATTTTTAACTCTTGGCTCTTCAAGATGTTTTATTTACTACTGTTAGTCTGTACAAAGAAAAGGCTTGGAAAGTATTTTTCTTTTCTTAGTAATATTGCCGTTGGATATTACTTCTTTCTTTCAATGTTTAATTTGATGTCTGATTTTCTCTCATTCTGCACACAGAATCTGTCCCCCGTCCAACAGTTTGGAAGCTCCAAATGAAATGAATCAATGGATCATATGCCCATCCGGTTTGTCTTCTGAAGAAAAGGTTAGTTTGAAAAGAATTTCTCCTTATTAGTCACTTGGTTCCATGTTGTCATGAAGACTTGGAAAGTTGTCTTTAGATAATCTTAGAAAACATCACTCCAACAACATTGATCCCTTCTTTTCTTGGCTTTCATTGACCTGGTTGTGGTCCAATTATCATTTTGTTTTCATTTTCTCTATATAATCTGCATGAAAACAAGAATTGTGGAAAATGGTAATCTGTGATTTAGTTTTAATAACATTATGCTGTTTGCAGTCTGTAAAGGCTTATCTCCAAATGGATAACATTTACAAGAACATTGTTGAGATGGACTGGAGAACTAAGGGCCTCGAGGTCTCCCAGTAGAATCAATTTGTCATGCCAACTTTTTTTTTTTTTTTTTTTTGTTTTTGTGGTGTACAGAACATGTTCTACTGTATAAACTTGCTGTATCAGAAACTTATATATTTTCTCTGGAGTGCAGCTTCTTTTAAACAAGTTTGCCAAGAAGACTGGCGCAACTGTGTCCAAGTACCTGGAGACCAAATGTTACACATTTGATTGCAGCCGTGGATGGGGATGGTGCATATGTCAGGACATTCAAAACTTGCATGGCCATTTTGGCTGGAAGATGGATTCTGAAAATTGACTGTAAGCTATGCCCAGATATTCTGCCTTGTTGCTTTCATTACATTTTCTATGAATGACTATTGACTAAATTACGACCTGTGTTTAAAAAAATGTGCACTTTTTTACCGAGGTGTTTTATAATTGTGTTTTATCACCTAACCTGTCTGTCCCTCTTTTTCTGTTTATTGATGGGTGTAGGGGTGAAAGCATGCATGGAAGCCACAGATCATGTGAATGAAGAACCGTATGAAGTTAGTCTTGATAACTATGGATGCTGTGATGGCCCAAAAACTGGCAGGCTTCGGGCAACAAACAATGTAAGTTCCTCTGATGAATACTTTGTGAAAATGCATTAACTTTAATCATCTTGAGCACATTCATTGATAATCTGTTCAACTACAATGTCTGCCCAATAATCTATTTGCTTGTAAACGATACCATGTCATAAATATAAGACAACCATTTCATCCAGTCCTCGGTTGGCAGTTTATGCATTTAAAATTTAATGTTCATATCAGAAAAAGGAAATAAGAACACTCGAGGGCACAAAGTCAGATTGTATGAATTGAACTTAAATAATGTCATTGCGTGCTTCTCCATTACCATGCTTATGCTATATGGTCAACTTCGAGCACCTTTCCTTTTAGTTTTCTATTCAATTATGCAAATCTTTGGTAACTAACTGATCTTAGTTATTGGATTATTTCCTTTGCAGTATCCAAAACTCTTTAATGGTTTGAGTTTCTATTTTGCTGGTGATTTTGTACTGGATAGAAAGGAAGATCTTCAAGATTTGATCATTGTAGCTGGAGGCACTGTTTTCAACAGCTCAGAAGAAGTGATGGAACGAAGTTGTCTTGAACATACAGCTTCAAGGACACTAGTTGTATACAACCTCGACCCACCAGAAGGTTGCAAGTTGGGGGAAGAAGTTTCAATCCTTTGGCAACGGTCAAATGAGGCCCAGGATATAGCTGCAAAAATTGGATCACAAATCATCGGTCACACATGGCTCTTGGAATCAATTGCAAGATGCGAGTTACAGCCTTTTGTCTGTTGACAAAACATTCAGTGCAATAGTCTGTGATAGATTGTACTAGTAGTATTGTGCTTGGATAGGGATCTGTTTGATAAGATGTTGACGTCCTGCATGTAGATTTTAGTTTGTAGCTAGGTTTATGCAATCTCTACGGCATTTTCTCCGATATCTCTACGTAAGTGATTCAGATGCCTTTAAAGATGTGTATTCTCCTGCAGACTTAAAAATTTCTAAGTTCCTGAGAAGTTTTTTTTGTTCATATCAAGTATTATTTTGAATTATTTACTTCTAGCAATTGAATAGCGTTGCGTTATCTGCCCAACAATAGCCTGTTTAGCTTGTGAAAGTTTTCTTCAAATTTATATTACATGAGAGAATGATAGCTTGGATATGAAGCTTGTCATCAGCTTATGAGTGAAGCATTTGAGGCTTCGGTAGAAGCTTGAGCCGAAGGTTTGCTCGGCGAAGTTTCCATGGCAAAGTTGCCTTTTGATTCTGTTGGGTCTGCGTTATAAACAAAGTACTTTGCAACGAGCAGAAAGAAGAGCAAGTTGAGAGTGCTCAGTGCAGCCAAGAACAAGTAGTAGTAATCGAAATGAGAGATGTTTAGGTTATTCAGAATCCAACCCCGACCATGTTTCTTGGTGATCTTCGAAACTGTCGAAAGAAGAAAACTACTGACAAAACTCCCAATTCCCAAGCTGGTAGTGAAGTATGCAGTCCCAAGGCTTTTCATTCCTTCTGGTGCTTGGTCATAGAACAGCTCTATCTTAGCTGTTTCGACGAAGGAATCAGCAATTCCCAGCAAAGCAAACTGAGGGAGGAGAACGAAAATTGTTAGGGGAAGTGTGTCCCTTGGCCCAAATAGTTTATGTTCTCTTACGACACTCAGTCTCTTTCTTTCAGCTAACCAAGCTGTGATCATGATCAAAACGTGCAACACAAGGCCAATGCCTAGTCTTTGAAGCAATGTGATCCCTCTAGGGTTCTTCGTGTAGCGCTGGATCCATGGAACGAAGAAGCGATCATACACCACGAGGCTTATCAGCATGAAGATTGTTATGAATGCTGAGAGACACGCCGGAGGGATCTCGAAATGAGGCCCTATGTTTCTGTCTAGGGTTGTGCCTTGTTTGACAAATAATGTTCCTCCTTGAGCTAACATCATGCTTGGTACAATTGTTGCTACTAGAATTGGGATCATTTTGACCATTTGCTTGGTTTCTTCCACTTGTGTCACTGGACATAGCATCCACGGCGAGGTTGGTCCGCTCTTTACGGCCGCTTTGTCAAGAAATCTGCACTTAACGCAATGCTAGGGGTGATCATTAAGGCTTTTTGCCAGAAAATGAAACTATTTTTACCATTTTTACTAACTACATTATTGATTATATCGCTAATTAAGATCTTCTTCACGACTCGATCCATTTATGTTATACATATAAAGGACTATACGATCTTTAAATGGTTATTAAGAAAATAAACAGTTCCCATATGACATGCGCATAGTAGGAATTCGTTAATCACAACTGGAATAACAAAAATGCATCATTGAGTTTTTACCTCAAGGAAGTGGAGTTGTCAATTCTGAATTTCCGAGCCTTTGTGTACTCTTCCAACCTCAACTCATGAAGCTCCTTTTGGTCATCTGGGATTGCCACCCTCCACTTCCTTATGCTTGCCACAAACACATGAGCTATCCTACTAAATGGACTCCCAGAAGGCAATTTGTGCCTGTAAAACTTAGTCCCTAACAAAAACACCACAACAGAGATTGCAAGGCCAAGTGTCGGGAGACCATATCCCAGAGCCCATCCAACTTTGTCTTGTATGTAAATCAAGAATGTGTTTGAGAAAAGGGTTCCAAAGAAGATGCTGAACATCCACCAGTTAAAAAATGAGAGCTTTTGGATCCTCTCTTGGGGCGCAAACTCATCAAACTGATCTGCTCCCATGGTGGAGATGTTGGGTTTGGTCCCACCAGTTCCAATGGCAATTATGTAAAGTGCACCATAGAATATGGCCACTTGGAATGGTGAGGCTCTTTTGTCACAATCTTCATATTTGATTCCTTGGGCACATGAGGGTGGCCTTAGATCAGGTAGTGATACTGCTAGGGTTAACAGGGACATACCCTAATTGGTAACAAAAAGGAGATTATGACCCAAATTTGGTATTATGTTACAATAATGAGGAAATGCATTTATTGTTAAAGAAATAGTTATCATGATACAATCTCGTATCTACGAAGAAGATGATTTAAAATTGAAATCTCTTTCAATTTTCATGAGAGAAGAATCAGTAGACTAACAATTAGTTGGTTATCGTTGATTTGACATGAAAAAGCTAAAGAAGCGGTGAAACTTATCAACAACTGAGACGTCATAATGATAGTATACCAAGCTAATTATGCAATGTCATGCGTTTAAACTTGCATATGCGAAAGTGTGTGATTAATTTGAGGCTTTTTAGCCAAAATGGTCCCTAAGATTTGCACAACTCATCACTTTGGTCCCTAAGATTTGAAATCAATAAAAGTGGTTCCTGAATTTGTCTACTATCAATCGTTTTGGTCCTTCAATAAAAATTATATTAAATAAGGATCAAAATGATAAAAATACCCTCAATTTAATAAACAATGGGCCAAATGATTTGACAAAAATTGAGGATATTTTTATCATTTTAACCTTATTTAGTGGAGATTTTTCATGGAATGACCAAAATGATTGATGATGGATAAACTCAGGGACTACTTCTATTGATTTCAAATCTCAGGGATCAAAATAAGGAGTTATGTAAATCTCAAGAACCATTTTGACTAAAAAATCTTAATTTGAGAATAGACTGAAAAGCGAAAACTTTTAGTTTCCTCTCTCTTAGGAATGGTTATGAAATTATGAATTTTCTTAAATGTAAAATTATTATAATCTCAGAACTTTCTAAAATAGGAAATTTCATTGCCCAACTAACCTCTTTATAATGTTATCATATTTATTTTTACTTTTCACATTTTTTTCAATTTCGATCGTCGAATCAAATTAATTGAAGAAGATCAGTGACAAAAATTAACAAACGTACACGAAAGGTAAATGAGTGTGAATAGTTCTATCTTATAGCAATTGACAACTAGATAGGAAAAAGTTAGACATGCAGGCAAGGTGGGGCATGTGAAGCCTTGAGATGTGTGATCACACGACCAATTATTCCCAAAATATACTCTGACAAACACATTTTCTTGAAAAACATGGCAAAATAGTTGTCAATTAATGTGAATGTTTATCCTAACGGCCAAAAGTGTTCTTGTTAAAAAATTACAAGTAAAATTACAATTATTTTTTAATTAAAATGGTCTATGAGATGAACATAACTCTTCACTTTAGTCTTTAAGATTTGAAATCGATATAATTGATTCTTTAGTTTGTACACCGTTAATCATTTTGGTTATTCCACGAAAAATCTCTACTAAATAAGAATCAAAATAATAAAAATACCCTCGGCTTAATAAGGAATGGACCAAAATGACTTGACAAAAAATTAAGGGTATTCTGCCATTTTTTCCTTATTTAATGAAGATTTTTCATAGAAGGATCAAAATGATTGATGATGAACAAACTCAGGGACCAGTTCTATCGAGTTTAAATTTTAGGGACCAAAGTAAGAAGTTACGCCAATTTCAAATATCATTTTGGCTAAAAAGTCAGTTACAAAACCAAAAAAAGTTTATAGAAAGGAACAGAATTTGAGATGTTCATATATCATAAAGAAGCATATTATAGAAATCATCAGCTAATGAAACTCAACTGATATAACCTTGGGATGAAGCAAAACACAAATCGTGTAAAGTTTAATCAAACTTCGGACTCATGAACGACTAATTTAAGTTTGCTCCTAGGAGTTTGTGACTGAAGTAGTTAATAATTTACTCATGCAAACGATATATTGTGTTTGAATCTCCTTCCCCACTTTTCAGAAAGAACAAAAGTTTGCTTGCACCTCACCAATGTGTGATCACAGTTGAGCAAACATGATCAAATAACAGTGTGATTTGTTCAACAATTACCATTTGGTTCATATGCAAGTTCTATCACGAAAAATGAGATAATATGTTTGTAGATTGAGTTAATTTTGTACCACAAGATATATGGCTGAAGCAATAACAAAAGTCCAATATCGACCAAGATAAGCATCTGCTATATAGGCTCCCAAAAGCGGTGTCATCCAAACAGTGCCAACCCAGTTGGTAACATTGTTTGCAGAGGTAACTGTGCCTTCATGCAGCTTCGTTGTCAAATAAATCACCAAGTTTGATGCAATTCCATAGTATGCCATCCTCTCAAACACTTCATACCCTAAAAAATCACCCATGCATGCACATATTGATTGGTCAAACATTGAAATGGAGGATCATTTTGTTGTCAGATCGGGAGAAAAAATTACATGTACTCCAGTACTTGTGATCATACACACTTATTGAGTCTCTCTCTCTCTCTCTCTTGTCAAGTGACAGAAGGTTGGAGCGAAATAAACTCAGCACATGTGTATACAATGGAGATATGCAAGTTTTTCTCGTAGCTAGCTACGTGAAGCTTTAGAATATATAAAGACGATATAAGTTATGAACATTATTACATACCTACAATGAAGGAACAAGCTCTCCATCTCCCAGTATTTGATCTTAAAACTGGTCTACCTTTGAGATCCACAGTCCCATCTTGTGTGTGATCGTCTTCTAAGCCTTTCTCTTCAACGGTCGCCATCAAGTGTTTGATGAAATTAATATGGACTTGGGGGCTTTGAAAGTTATGTGATCAGCTCATAGCTATTTATAAAGTTAATTTGGGACAGGTCAGTTAAGTATAAGGCTAACCAGTAACCTTCCAACTCAGCTCCAATATTCTAGATTTATTTTCCTTTTACATTGATAGTCACAGCTAGTAATAGTTTTAATTTAGAATTATTAGTTTCTTATACAATGTTACTTTTAACAAATAAGTCCCTCAAAATTTAATCTCCCTTGAATCAGAAAATTACTTATTGAGCATTATTTTAAAGAAGAAAACAAAAATTCTAAAAACAACTCGATTCTATTGTTTGATTCTTTAAGTATTGTTTTTACTAGTATTATCAATTGGCAAAAAAGTTACATTACCTTATTTTTTTAGAAGAGGATTAGCTGATGGTTAAGTCACGATAAAAATGACAAGAGGTGTTCTCTATGATGAATAGATGAACTTTGAACGCTAGTGGCAACTAGAATAATTGATTCATCATGGGTTGATTCGCAAGTCTGAATTGTTGATCAATTGGCCAGAACCAAGTGCGCCGCTTGACTTTTCTTGGAATCTAAAATAGAACACATATAGAAAGCACTACGTTTTTATCTAAGAAAAGCTCAGGAGTACAGGTGCTCAACGGACATTGTTCTTGGAACTTTTTCCTTTGGATATTATGATTCTGTTTGCTATATGTGCCTGATTGGACAATGATAAAAAATTCAATTTATCGATCAGTAAAAAAAATCTAATTTTTATATGACAAAATTTCAGCAACACACTAAAAAAATTCATGTAAATATTTGCATAGTTAGGTTGAGCAACTGTGACACTTCTTTCTTTCTATTAGTGAAAGGCTAAGGCTCCATCCCCACTTTCGAATTCTTGCTAAGCCTCTTTCTGACTATTACTGGCATTTCTTTAAGACCGCATTCCTTCACCTTCTACTATTCTTTCAGGGGCTGAGAAGACTCATAGAGATATTTCATCATTTCCCTGCTAATATAGTGTGGTTCATTTACGCCAAAAATCGAACCCATAATCAATCGTGTAAAATTTGCTAAGAAATTAAATTACTTAAATGTACATTTGATAAATTTATTATTAATTTCTTAAATGTATGTATATGATATTAAATTTATTATTGTTTGTGTCGAGTGAATAAATCAGCTGTTAGATTAAAAACGAATATTACTTTAGACTGACCCACATCATTTTCAACTCTAACATGTTAGGCCTTTTGTCCTTTTAAACTAATGATACCCTAAACAAGAAAACAAAAGAGAAGGCCGACTTATGCTACAAATTAACAAGAACAAACTCACAACTACAAATTATCGAAAGATTTGGAACCTCTCTTTTGACATAGCAGCCTCATTTTTTAAATCTGGAAAACGATCCCAAGTTTGATAATTCCCATGCAAAATCAAAATTAACCAAAAAGTTAAATGGAGAAAAACAAAGATAATCATCATATCTTCGCCACGTGTCTGTAATTTCGTCCTAATTTTGGTAGGCCACATGCTATTAATCTAATTTAGAAGTTGAATTAACCTCATGTTACTGTCATTCTTTGGTTTTTTATGGAATATCAGTCTCGTGGAATCATATAGTTAAGCCGTTCATGAAGATGCGAGTCCTATAAAATTGTTCACATTTTTATCTATCACTCCACATCAACGTGTCATCAAAATTGAAATGTATTATAAAATAGAAACCTAGATTAGCCATGGTGAAGATTCCATGAAGATTTCAGGAGGGTGCTGGAGAATTATGTTAGTAAGAATCTGACAGTATGGTGGGCAAACGTTGATCCATTTTTATAGCCTACAATCATAAATTTCCGTGTCTGCAACACCCATTACGTGATTAGTAAAAGGATAATTGTTGTTGACACATACGAAGCATATTTTCAGCATGTTTTCTTTAAATAAGACATGTTCGCATGGATGAGTTTTAGATGGATCTCACTTCCATAACATATGTCCGTAGTCTAAATACTAAGAGTTTCACAAGAGAAAGTGGTTTCTTGCGCCATGAAAATCTTAATAGGGTTTTCATTGACCAAAAATAAATGATCTGTTTAAACATCTCCTTATCCATGATCAGATTTTGGAATCAAAGCCAACTGTGGCAGCAGAATGAAAATTTGTGATTCTGCGAGAGGCACCTTTTGAGTTCAAATGATCTACATTAATTTTGTGTGTAGTGGCTTCTACCATTGATTAACACTGTGTTAATAAATTAGTTCTTTTTAACTTTGTTATCATAAACTTAATACGTGTCAATCAATGATAGAAATCACACACAAAATAGATGCAGAAGATTTGGCGCCTGTCCTGAAGATGATGCTGATCAGCCTTTTCATTTCGGACAAACAAGCAATGAACAAAAGATCATGATGTACATCACAACCCAACTCCATTCTTTTCAGCTGTGTGATTCCTCTAGGGTTTTTCGTGTAACGCCGGACTAACAGAACTGAAGAGGCGGTCATAGATTAGGAGGCTGATGACCATGACAGTGCTAGGAATCCGAAGGGGTGACTTTGAAATGTGATTAGTGTTGCTTGATGATTACTAATTTGGCACCTTGCTTGATGAAAACTAAGAAATTATATGATTAGGGTTATCCAAAACCAGTTAAAAACATGGGTTTGCGTTATTTAATCCGTTGCTATTACTATAACAAGAATTACTTAATAAATTAGTTCAGATTGATATAATAGAGGTATTACAAAACGCCAACTAAGGCGATAAAGTATCCTCAACAAGTAAATCAACGATTACACTTGGGGGGAATCTAACCATTTGTTAAATTGACTAGAAGCAACACCAATTCGAGCAAGCCGGTGAGCAACTCCGTTGGTTTGGTGAGCTGTATGGGTGAATGAAGCTTCATATTGAAGAGAGAAAGGCCTTGATATCTTCGACAACCTGGCCAGCCAAGGACAGGTTGGTGGAAGTATGTTTCAAGTTGTCCACAATCCGAAGAAAGTCGGACTCAAATAAAATGTTTTGATATCCCCGAGATAACGCCCAAACCAACCTTCTCTAATTGCCATGGCTTCCGCTTGTAGGGGAGAGAAGACATCAACATAGTGACCGCATTTTGCAGCCAAGAAACAGCCAATTTCATCACGCACAATTCCCCCGAAGCCACCCAGATCCTTGGCCATAATCCAAGCTCCGTCGATATTCATTTTCAAATGATTCGGCAAGGTATTAATAGTTTGGGTCTATTTTTTTTAGCACACGATCGCTGATTTCAAAGCTCTAGAACTTGGGGTTTATCTGTTCTTCCTTTGAATAATGAATTACGAGTGGAAATTTACTTGTTAGGTGACGCAACATATTTTGAACTTCACCTTGTGTTTGGATGGTTTCATCTTTTTTCGGGTGATTAGTGTGCTTGATGTTGTTAATTGTGAGTTTTCTAGATTATGGTGTATTTATTCTTCCTTTTCTTAATAAAAGCTTCAATTTAAGTAGCTCGTTTCATATTCACCTATGTTGCAGCTCAGTATTCAGAAAGAATCTTTTCAAGTACGACTAAGCATTATACAATCAATGAGAAACACTGAATGCTTCAGAATTCGTAGTCTTGAATGGTGAAAATATATATATGTTCATAGCTCTTGTGATTCCAATTGTTTATTTAAATGGAAATTTGGACTACTTTTCTAAATGATCATTTAGGGATGTATTTTTATTCTCAGGTGAAGGTTTTGCTTCTGGAAGAATCAATCTCGGAGAAATAGAGGTTTCCAAGGTAACCCAATTTAAGTTTATCTGGGCCTGCACTCCATCAGAGGACAAGAAAAAAAAGTGTAAGATTTTATAAGCCCGCAGAAATACCTGATGGATTCCATAGCATTGGTCACTATTGCCAATCCAAGGATAAGGCTTGACATGGTTTTGTCCTTGTGGTTAAAGAGGCAGAGTTTTCTGAAACAGCTGATGTTGGGGAGAGTGTCAAGTTGCCGGCTCTTCAAGATTTACTTGGTTACACGTTCGTATGGAGTCCTGATGACGGGAATGGGGACAATTATGGTGCATATGGTTGTCTTGGGATAATCGTTGAATCTTTCTCCAACGATATTGATCCCTTCTTTGCTTGTCTTTCATTGACCAGGTAGTGGTAAAATTATTATTTTGTTTTCACTTTCTGTATATATATCTGCATGAAAACAAGAATTGTGGAAAATGGTAATCACTGATTTAATTTTAATAACGTTATGCTGGTTGTAGTCCGCAAATGCTTATCTCAAGATGGAAAACATTTACGAGAACATTGTTGAGATGTTCTACTGTATAAACTTAATATCTTGGTTGCTGTATCAGAAACTTATATATTTTATCTGAATGGTGCAGCTTCTTTTAAACAAGTTTGCTGAGAAGACTGGTGCAACTGTATCAAAGACCTGGAGACTAGATGTTACTCATGTGATTGCAGCCCTGGATGGAGACGGTGCATATGCCAGGACATTCAAAACTTGCATGGCCATTTTTGCTGGAAGATGGATTCTGAAAATTGACTGTAAGCTATTCCCAGATATTCTACCTTGTTGCTTCAGTTACATTTTCTATGAATGACTATTTGACTAAATTACGACCTGTGTTAAAAAAAATTTGCACTTTTGTAAAGGATAAATATTTCATCTCTTATACTGAGTAGTCTATTTATGGCATGAAATGAAAATTATATCGTTGGTTTTATTAAAAAAAAAAAAAAAAAAAATTATGTGCGCTTTTTTGACCGAGGTGTTTTATAATTGTGTACCTAACCTGTCTTTCCCTTGTTTTCTGTGTATTGACGGGTGTAGGGGTAAAACTGTAAAAGCATGCATGGAAGCCACAGGCCATGTGAATGAAGAACCATACGAAGCTGGTCTTGATAACTATGGATGCTGCGATGTCCCAAAATCTGGCAGGCTTCAGGCAACAAATAACGTAAGTTCCTCTGGTGAATACTTTGTGCAAATG